TACTTTAAAGTAAATCACAACAATGTCCCGCTATACATCCCGCTTTTCCCAGTCTGCAGGTGTTCCTCAAGGTAGTATCCTGGGTCCTATACTTTACACACTTTAAACAGCTGACATCCCAACCCATCCCAACACTGTCATCACCACATATGCTGATGACACATGTATCCTATCAGTTAATAACGACCCCTCTATTGCATCCCAAACCCTTCAATAACACATCATAAACCTTGAAGAATGGTGTCAGAACTGGAGAATTAAAATAAATTCCAATAAATCCCATCAAATTACCTATACCCTTCGTCATAAACCAATGACTTCCTGTCCTTCAGTATCCTTTAACAACATCTCACTTATTCCTGTTGAACAAAGCCGTTACCTAGGGCTCCATCTGGACAAACGTCTAACTTGGAATCCTCACACCAGACTGAAACGACAAGAAACAGCTCGATGTTTCCGACTACTTCAACACTTACTAGACAAACACTCTAAACTTCCAATTAACTATAAAAGACTAATTTACATGACTATAATAAGGCCTATTTGGACTTACGGAGTTGAGCTATGGGGCTCCACCAAACCTTCAAATTCCTCTCGCATCCAATCCTTACAATCCAAAATCCTTCGTAAAATCCTCAATGCTCCTTACTTTGTTACAAATAAAATCATCCATAATGACCTTAATTTTCCTTATGTATCAGATTTGGCCCAATCCAGATATCTGTCCTTCTATAATAAACTTCATAACCATCCCAACCCTCTTGTTTCTAACCTTTCTTCCTATTCAATTCCTGATAATCCTCCGAGGCGTCTGAAAAGAAGATGGCCACGTGATCTCCTAATATAGACATATTATTAGAGTGCTACCAATGGGTAGTTTCTCAACATGTGTTTCATGTCATTATATCCATGTGCGAATTTACCAGATGTATTTTTTGGATACAGTTGTAAATATCATATAAATAAATAAATAAATTTTTAAAAAAATTATTTTATTATATCGATGGTTGGCAGTTAAAACCTCGTAATTCAATTTTTTTATAACAGAGATGGGAAAAATCGGAATCAATGATTACATGATTACAGCTATAAATGAAAATTAATGAACATGCCAATTTAAACTTGATTCAAAATATCAAAAATGTGACAATTATCTGATAACCAGATGACTTTAATCACGTAATTAAGATCACTTTAATCGTTGACATGTTATCATGATTCAGTAATCATAATGATTGATTATGATTATGTCCATGTATGGTTTATAATTATGTAATGGTTTATAATTATTCCAACAGAATAAGCAAACGAAATGCAGTTTGCTACCAGATTTGCAACACCGTTGTAATTCGGAGACGTACAAATAAACTGTAGGGATAAGAATCTGGAGTTGGTAGAAGAATATACAAATGGTCTGTGTGTGTGTGCGTATGTGTGTGTACGAGCGCACGCGCGCGCGCGTGCGTGCGTTCATGTGTGCGTGCGTGCGTGCGTGAGTGTGGGGGAGGAGGCATGAATAAACTACTCCCTTATAGACCAATCTGTCTCCTCCCTGCGATGAGAAAGATTCTGGAGAACCTTAAGATCACCTCATGCCAGTTCTTGATGAAGCACGTCATCCACGGCAACACGGCTCTACCAGAGGCAGAGGAACCGCTGATGCTCTGCTGAGAGCCCGCAGAGATGTTAAAGAAACGGCGGAGTGATACTTCATCGTGCAGGTCCTAGGGGAGAGGGCAGTGTCTCTAGACCTCCACCTGCGAGAAGATATGACCAAACAAAAGTTCAAAAAATAAGCCTTGGCAGGAGTTCCAGAAAATCTATGGGTGAGGATAGTGGAAATTTCCAACAAATGGAAAAAGATAATCCAGGAGGATACGATTGAGGAATGGTGTCGACGGTGGGTGGCTACCCCGAAAGGGAGTACTCTTGGGAAATATTTCCCCACCGTACAATCGCGGCTAGATGCACAATGGGTCCTCCCGGACTACTGGGTTTCACAATTCCTCACGGACCATGGGGGTTTTCGAGCTAAGCTACATGGCTTTGGTCAGAACATAGATCGCCAATGCCCCACTAGTAGTGTTCTGGAGACTGTCGAGCACGTGGTCACGACCTGCACTGCATTCGAAGAAATAAGGGCAACAATGATGAGAACCGCGGGAATTTGCGTCCTAATAGAGGATGAACTTCCTCAGTTGGTAAGTAAGGAGAACTTCCCTCGGTTCAAGAAATTTATTTATGGCTGGAAGGAGGTAGTGGGTCCAGCCCACTTCAACATTGGAGCACGGAGAAGAGGACCACCACCAAGAAGACGGTCACTCTTGATCAGAAGTCACCGAAGGTAAAAACTTTTAAACTGTTTCATTTGTAGTAGTGTGTTGTTATGCAGTCATGCATAATATATAATGCAGTCATATAAATAAATGAAGTATACTCTAATAACTTATAAATAAAGTTTACTCTATTATAATACAATTTAAAAAGTCTATCGCAATCCAATTTAAAAAGTCAATTAACAAACATATGGTATAAAACAAGTAAGATTCGAGTCACGACTCGAGCATTTTACTGGCGAGCTCTCAGGACTCGAGTCTTGACCGAGTTGGGAAAGCTCAAGCATTATAGCCTTCTCACCGAGCCTTTTTACAACACTACCTGCTGCACTTAAACGTCATATTTCACCGCCTTTCACAATATGAAATCATCATCAATTTGACTAATTGTGTTTTTGGAGCATTAGAACTAGATTTCATAAAACATCGAATAAATTCTTCTGGAACAGCACGATTACCTGATAACGTTCTAGATTTAACTACTGCTGAACGGCTGTTAACATATGTAAAAATAAGGTTATGTGCATATGTTTATTAATGTAAGTAAAAAGAATAACAGATGGTCAGGTTGTATAAATCTAGATGTGTAAGCTTGTTAATAAAAACATTTAATCATCTTCTAGTGATTACTATTTTAATAAAGATATATAACAAACGCGTCGCGCCTTAAGTTGTTTCCTGGGAGCTATCAATTATTATCTACGGTTAATGCATCGTGCAACTTGACCTCAAGTTATCCTGAACAAAGCATTGAAATTGCGAGAAAAAGAGGATAATCAGATTCAATGGACTGCAGAGCTAGCTGAAGCATACAAAAACTGGGTCAACTGTCTTAAGGAGGCAACTTTATTCAACCACCCTTGTCCAGATTTACCTCTCGTACTACACGTAGATGCCTCTGATGTTGCCATTGATGGTGGGTTGTAACCCTATAGCTTGTAAGCTGTAGCAAGTACATGAAAATGCACAACCACTGTCGTTTTTTTCTCAAAAATTAAGTAAAACTGAGGCTCGCTACAGCACGTACGATCGAGAACCGTTTTATTTTGCCATTAAGCACTTTCGTTATCTTGTAGCGATCGTGGAATTGTACAAGCCTCTTGTTTACACTTTTGCCAACAAATCTGATAAAAGGGTCACCAAGGTAACTAAGGCAATTAGAATTTATATCCCAGTTCACAACGGACATCAGACATGTTCCTGGTAATTATAATATAATTGCTGACTATTTACCACGACTTGAGGAAATTTCCGCTTTCGACAACAACCAGAACACCCAGCCATAAGGTGAGGACTAACCAACACCAGCCGTTGCCACCTCGAAGTGGTCAAACCGTTCGCCTTACAGCATTTTATTATTGTTTATGTGGTAATACTCCCACAACACCAACCATTCTTCGCCATTCTGTTGGTGAAAAATGTACATGTTCAAACATTATATTTTTGAGTAGTTAGTAATTGATTATTTCATGTTGTTTTTTTTTTTTTATTCCTTCTTCACTACCGAAGGCCGAGAAGCTTCGTATTCCTGCGGAATGTTTGCAAAAAGAAACGTCATTCACAAGAAGAGGAGACAGAGAATGGCTAGGAGGACTGGGCGGATGCAGCAAGACAAGACGCCGATCCGAGGCTGGGAACAGATGATAAACTGCGGCTCAACCAGTAATGTGCACAGCCATCCATGCACTGGACCGCACCACAGTTAACTCATTTTATTGGTCATTATTAAAATTGGTTTTTACTAAGAAATCTATAAAATAAGAAAGATGAACAATAAAGTATAGATTATTGGCAGTGGTGAGCAGACGAAAATCACAACGTATCAACCAACTACTTCCGAAACCCCCGTATGGCAACTATGCTGGGCAAGAGAATAAAAAAAAATATATATAAATATTTACATATGTCATAAACGGTTCGTCTGTTTGATTTGGACCGAATATGGAAGACATTTTGGAAACTTTGAACAAATAATATAGTCCCAATTTGATCAAACTCCATTTACCAATTAAAATTTTTACCACATATTCTTGATGACGAATATAAGGTAAAGACAAAACCAAACATTAGGACGCCTTCCATAAGCTTTTACTCGTTTACGAGACCATAACTGATAAGGATATAAAATTCATTAAAGCAGTTTCTTTTTAAATTCAGAAAACTTCGTTTATAAATGTACCTGAAAAAGATGTATGAAGAACCGATTACTTGACAATTCAGAGCAACGACCATGAACTTGGTTCGTAATGTGAATGTCGGCAAACTGGGCATCAATGTGTGTTATGAGTTTAAATTAAATTTGTTAGAAAACTAAAACTAATTCTATAGAAGTATAAACTATAGTAACAAGTTTCAAAGGTTATTAAGTGATCACAAAGAGATAGCAACTGTTTATATGTTGAGATTGTGGTTGAACGGTGTAGTAATCATCAAGATTTGTTTTAAATATAGTTTTATTTTTATTTTTTAAACATAATTTAGAATGAGTAAATGAATTAGTATTTCTTGTAGAATATTGTTTCAATGTATTCCTATGACACATCAAAACTTTCATTTTCACTTACTGATAAGACCTGTTGCTTTTTACAGTTGTTTAACACTTAGTTGTAGTTTTTAGGCACTTAATTGTCTACCGTGAAATTTAGTTGAGTTCAACGAGTTAAGATGTTGGATCTTAACGGTTTTTTAGTTCATTATGACTTGAACTATATCAAAATCATATTTTTGCTCTTGGCAGCTACACATTTTTTGTTAGGAATATTAGTGAATTGGTTTGAAAAATTTCTTCCATCACTCGTACTTAATATGTATAAGTATGGTAAACTTAATGGAAAACATTCTTTTACTCCAGATTATGTTCCTAAGAGGTAAGTAGTCCTTCGATTTCTCTTTAAAGGATTGATAAGGAGACTTTACTTCATTTGAATAAGGTGTAAACAAAAGCCATAATCTATAGCATTTTCTTGATTGCATAAGTTTTTTTCTATTTGGTGAGCATCAGTAAGCCTTCGATAATTGGATCTATATCCAAACTTAGCTTCTATGCATATTAATGTTCTCCTATGGTTATAGGTATTGCAAAGGTTACTAAACGGCTTTAGTCCATGTTCTTTGAAAATGTCAAAGATTTCAAATCACATACAAAATATTTTTTAGAAACCAGTGATTAAACTTACTTAGGTAAATGATAAAAGGGACTTGCAGGAGGTCTAATACTGCCACTATATGGAGATATGCTGCTGGTGTATGGGTACTATAACTGCAGCAGTACAGTCGTTGAATTAAAAAAAAAAAAACTAGCACTATAACCCATGAAGGGTCTTGGGTTCAGTACTATTTAGGGAAAGCACTGTTTCTAGGTAAACGGTTGTGCAAGGAGGTGATTTGACCGAGATAACGTTCAGCCGCCAGGTTTTCCCCCTTAAATAATTATTTAATTAATGGTACCCACTTTATAGAGGCTGGGTATGCCCCAGGAGGGTTAAACAACCATCGTATTAAACCCTCTGAAATTCCCTTTTATTATTGAACTTAGTAGATTAAAGTCCCTTTTGATTGTTAACCTTATGAAATTTAATCACTGGTTTTCTAAAAAAAAATTGTGTTTACTTAGAATTTAATTAGCTTGAACAGTTCTTGTGTAACTCCTTATCTAATAAAAAATGTGACCACCTTCAGAAAAACTCAAAATTGGTCTTAACTCCTTTTCTGTTTCGGAATCGGCCCATGCATCAAATAAACTTTTTTGTTGGATTTTGTCTAGGACCAGTCATCTGACCACTCCCCTCCAAGTTTGGCTATTAAGAACTGAGACATCATGTATATTAAATATAATATATATATATCATTTAAACCCTTTTATTAAGAATATTGTTTTAAAGCACATTAAATTATTTCTAGACCATGTGGTCTATGTATAGTATACATGAAAAATTAAGAGGAAAGGAATATTTTGTTAATTACCTTGTCTAATCATAATTGAAAAAATAAAATATCTTAAAGTTTTGTATACTTTGTCAAAATGAACACTTCATGTAATATATTGTGGTTGATTTTGAAAAATAGGGAAGGTCAAATTTTGCTGTGTGTAGTAGATTAAAGATAGGATTTATTAAGTGAATATGATGCAATAATAATAATTTAAATTGTTTTTTCCCATTTTTAGTTGGTTTCGTCACTTTTATGTGTTTGCCAGCATCAGTTCAATATTTTCATTTTTGTTATTATTTTTAACATACTTTAATCATTCCTACGGAATCAATGAGAATCTAAGGGTTATATTATCTTTTTTTGGTGGTAGCCAAAAAAAACTAACTGGTAAGAGATTATACATTTAAGTTATCAATATATTTGGTGCTTATATTTTAAATTTTAATTTTTTTATCATGATATAGTGTCTGCAGATGCTTCGTTCATTGCAATGGGCTTGATGACTCTGCATTGCTGTAGAAGGTTTTATGAAACACACTTTATAAGTGTTTTTTCTGATTCCAAAATGAATATTGGTGTGTATTTTGTTGGCCTCTTCCATTATTTTGGAGCTATTCTGGCTATTCTCTGTGAAGCTCCAGGAATCCTAAATAGAGGTATGTTATATTATTTAATGGGAATATGATAGGTTTTTTTTTATACCAAATCTACAGTATGATTTATGTTTTCAACCTTAGACTCAAATTATTTGTTATTTGCATGGAACTAGGAATTTATAGAAAGGCGCTGGGGTATCATTTCTAGGAACAAAGATGAGACATACCAAGGTTATGCAACCCGCAATACAATTAATGCTTCTGTACCAACTCCCAGGCTTGACAGCAAACAAACATAGCTGCCACATTTATTTGTCTCATTTCACTCCCGGGTTAGGGCCTCTTTATTCATTTTGTACTGTACCAGCTCCATGGTTTTTGTAATCAATGAATGATATGCAACATTTAAATACAAAGATTTCGTTATAATTATTAATTGCTCATTATTCAGGCTATATTTAAGATAAAATTATCACTATTATTCTGTTTTGAATGTCTTGTGGCTTTGCTAATAATATTTCTTATTGTATGATTTTATGTACACAAATATGAATTAAATTTTAAATTATTGAGATATAAACTTCATAATGCGTATCATATCTTTTGTTTAATCCTCCTCATTTTTTGGCCACCATTTTGAAAGTAAAAGACGGGTAGTAATGTCAATGAAGGAGGATCATCCTCGGGTGACCTCTGATTTTATATCGAAATTTGAAAAAAATCGGTTCAGTAGTTTCAGAGAAAATGCGCTGACGGCTTACGGGCAAAAAAATTTGTATTCGTTTTTCGAAATTCTACTCATCCTGAAACATGAAACCTCAAATTTTGAGAGGGGGTTAAGTTTTTGAATTTTTTGGTCGATCACAATGGTTGATTATTGAAAATAATAATGTCAATGAAGGAGGATCATCCTCGGGTGACCTCTGATTTTATATCGAAATTTGAAAAAAATCGGTTCAGTAGTTTCAGAGAAAATGCGCTGACGGCTTACGGGCAAAAAAATTTGTATTCATTTTTCGAAATTCTACTCATCCTCTGAAACATGAAACCTCAAATTTTGAGAGGGGGTTAAGTTTTTGAATTTTTTGGTCGATCACAATGGTTGATTATTGAAAATAATAAACCAAAATGAATAATGCTGTGGTTGTCACTTTTGAAAATATTTGGTTGAGATATGTCTATGTTTTAGCCTGTTAAACAAAGGCATAGTTATAAAAATAGGTTTAAGATAAATTTATCTTAAAAATATTTTTTTTATTATCACTATTATACTATGTTATCAGTGATTTGTTTTCTAATTTTTATTATATATTAGATTGGTACTAAAAATTGAGTTAATTTTTAGGTGACTTTGAGGCTATGAATTATAATTTTTCCTTGAGGCATCTTTTAGGGGCTCTGGTATTCTTTTGGGCCAATAAAACACAGTTTGATTCTGCAGTTATTCTTGGGAGACTTAGGAAAAATGAGAAAGGTAAAACATTTTTTAAATAAACTACTGTACTATAAACTAGGATGTAAATAAGAGCTGTAATTTCCTTTAGCACTAATGGTATTTTACTACCTTATCTATGATAGCTATATTAACACTAAATTTACAGAACTTATAACTTTGACATACTTCATTTTAACATTTATTCGTCCGTATGACGAAAATCCATCATTTTTCAAACCAGCTGAATGATAAAAATTCGTCATTTGTTGCTAGTTCTGCCATATATACTGCTACAAAAGTTAAACTTGGTATTATTTAGATAATCCTTACCTCTATCAGGTTATTTTCTTTATATGTCAGGATAATAATCCCAATTAGTTTGTATTTTTCTTTAGCTCAATAAACATGGAGTGGGATGATAAAGAAAACCGAATAGCTGTGATCGCCTTACACAAATTTGGAAAATGTAGGTCACAGATTTTCAACACTTTGAAACCATTGTGTAACAATCGGATGTTTGTGTACCGCACTATAAATATGTATTTTGAGACCCCATCTGTATGTGACGGACCTAGACCTAGACCTGCTGAGAGGGCCTTCCCCCCACTGTGAGAGGTAAGTGCAGTGAGAGCAGTGGCTGCTCGAAGCAGAAAAAATTCCATTCGAAAACAACAAATCATGTCTCTGGAAATGGGAATCTCTGTCAGATCTATGTCTCGCATAATAAAAAGTGACCTTAGGATGGATGCATTTCGTAGAATGACAGGCCAAAGGCTAACCACTTCCCTAAAAAAAAAATAGAATGGATAGTTGCAAAGTATTCCTTGGCCGTTATACCAATAGTCTTCATAGAAAGATTTTGATTAGCAATGATAAAATTTATACAATTGAAGAAAAATATACTCGCCAAAATGATCGTGTGTACGCACACAGCTCTAGTGAAGCCCAGAAAGTCATTGGAAGAGTGGAAAGAGGTTATCACCCTTCCTCAGTGATTGTTTGGTGGGGAGTTTCTTTGATGGCACCAGAAAGCTCCATTTTTGTGAAAAAGGAGTTAAAACAGCCGTTAAAAACTATCAGGACAATATTTTGGAACCTGTTGTCAAGCCTCTAAATGATACTCTGCTTTGCTGGAAGTCATTGGGTTATCCAGCAGAGGCTGCAAAAGAACATTCCAGAGTTCATCTCTGCCTCGGATTGGTCCTCAGGAAGCCCTGATCTCAACCCACTAGATTATCGGCTTTAGTCTGAACTTGAGAGGATGACATGCCTCAGAGCACACCCTAACTTGGAAAGCTCAAACAATCTCTGGTCTGAGCACTTGAGCGCTTTCCTCAAGAAGTGCTGCGTACTGCTATTGATGACTGTCCACGGAGATTAAATGCCTCTGTCAAGGCAAAAGGGGGACATTTTGTATAATTTATTTTTTGTTTTACTCTCTGTAGATGTACATTTTATTTTCTAAAAAGTTTTTGAAAAAATTAATTTTTTTTATATCTGTATATATTTCCTTGTGACAATATTTATGACAGGACTAGGTATATTATAGAAAATAATTGATTCTTGTTTGTTTGTTGGGGCTTTAAGGCATAAAACTTCATTGCTATCAATACCTGTAAATTACTTTTGTTTATCTCTGACTTAAATTTAATTCATTCTTGGTCTATATATTCTAAATACATTAAATTATATAAATAAATTGATTAACTCATATTTAATCTTTATACATTGCTTAATGATTTAGAATTTTATTATCTAATTAAATGTACGTATGTAATTATATAGCATTTCCAAGTCAATTTCAACCTTTTCCAAATCAAATTCAACCTTTTCCAAGTCAAATTAAACATTTTCCATTTCAAATTCAACCTTTTCCATTTCAAATTCAACTTTCGAATTTTTGTCAATATTCGATTTTTTTCGAAATGAAGGCCACTTACTATATTATCTAAGGCATATCTTTTGAAAAATACAAAAAAAAATTTAATAACACGGTTGTATATCCATTTATTTTAACATTTTAGATTTTTTCAGTGTGATATTTCTATGTCATATTCAATTATTTCCAAGTCAAATTCAACCTTTTCCAAGTCAAATTCAACCTTTTCCAGATCAAATTAAACTTTTTCCAAGTCAAATCCAACCATTTCCATTTCAAATTAAACCTTTTCCAAGTCAAATTCAACCTTTTCCAGATCAAATTAAACTTTTTCCAAGTCAAATCCAACCATTTCCATTTCAAATTAAACCTTTTCCAATTCAAATTCAACCGTTTTCATTTCAAATTAATGTTTTAATTTTTTGTAAATTTTATATATTTTTAAAAAATAATGGCCATCCCTTCCCCACCTCCAATATGAAAGTCTATTATTATGCTCTCCTAAATAGAATTTTCACTTACGGATATCGATTTATTGTACCTATTCGGATTTATTAGGGACTAGTATTATGCTGTCCTGTACCTAGTTTTGAAAATAACCTCCATTTTAAGAATACGTGACTGGGTTTCGAATCATTTAAGTTTTTTTGACCTATTCGATATAACTGTGTATTTTTATGTTTCCCAATCAGTAAATTTTGAAAATGACATCCATTTTATGTTTACGCAACTGTGTTTTGACTTATTTAAGTTTTTAGAATTTTTTCATATGAGGATGTATTCTTATGTTTTCGGAGCCGTAGATTTTGAAAATGACCTCCATTTTAAGATTAGGCCACCGCATTTTGATTTCTGTAAGTGTTTCGAATTCTTATCATAAAAGAGTGTATTCTTATGTTTCCGGAGTCGTAGATTTTGAAAATGACCTCCATTTTAAGATTACGCCACTGCGTTTCGGCTTATTCAAGTTTTTCGAATTTATCCAATTTAAAGGTCTGCTTTTATGATGCCGGAGCCTTAGTTTTTAAAACGACTTACATTTTAAGATTAGGCCAATGTGTTTCGGTTTTTTTAAATGTTTTTGATTTTTCCTTCGAATAAAAACCAAAATACGAAGGATTAATTTATTTTTCAATAAATAAATAGAAATATCTAATCAAAATAAATAAAATATGTATTGTCTCATTTTTAATTTAATTTTATTTATCTTTTTTAATGTTGTGGTCTCCTGTCACAAAATTATAAGATTTCGAACAATTAGCTGAAAAATCTGAATACGGAAGGTTAAATTTATTACCAGTTGCTTTTCGGCTTTTTAGTTTGTATTCTGTGGTTAATTTAACTTTAGCTTCATAATATTTATTTATTTATTCATACTCGAAAACATATTGATGAAACTTTGTATTAAAAAATCCAAAATGAAGCCTAATTAATCGAGATAAAGCTTCTTAATCATAAAATGGAGCTTAAATATTAGATAAATTTAAATATTAAACATTAGAAAATTTTCAATACGTCTCGGATAACATATAAGTAGATCCTTATACCGAAAAAGTAAAAAAAAAACTTTTATAATCCAAAACACAGTGGCATATACTTGAAATTGGATCATTTACAAAATGGGGGAAATCTTCTGCTCCAGAAACATAAAATTAGACCTTAATACTTGTTAAATTTTAAAAACTTAAATAAGTTGAAACGCAGTGGCGTAATCATAAAATAGAGGTCATTTTCAGAATCTACGGTTCCGAAAACATAAAAGTAGACCTTTAAATTGGATAAATTCGAAAAACTTAAATAAGTCAAAATGCAATGGCGTAATCATGAAATGGAGGTCATTTTAAAAATCTACGGCTCAAGAAACATAAAAGTAGACCTTAATATTGGATAAATTCGAAAAACTTGAATAAGTCAAAGCACAGCGGTGTAATCATAAAATGGAGGTCATTTTCAAAATCTACAGCTCCGGAAACATAAAAATACACCCTTACATCGAATAAATCAATAAAACTTAAATAAGTCGAAACACAGTGGCGTAATCTTAAAATGGAGGTCATTTTCAAAATCTGCAGCTCCGGTGTATAAAAATACACCCTCATATGAAAAATATCCGAAAAACTCAAATAAGTCGAAACGCGGTGGCCTAATCTTAAAATGGAGGTCGTTTTCAAAATCTACGGCTCCGGAAACATAAAAGTAGACCTTTATATTGGATAAATTCTAAAAACTTAAATAAATCAAAACACAGTGGCGTAAACATAAAATGGATGTCATTTTCAAAATTTACTGATCGGGAAACATAAAAATACACCCTTATATTGAATAAGTAAAAAAAAACTTAAATAATTTGAAACGCAGTCACGTAATCTTAAAAAGGAGGTTATTTTCAAAAACTACTCATACGATAACAGACCCACACATCGAAAAATTAAAGATAATTAAATAAAAAAAAAAAGGTTGAATTTGAAATGGAAAAGGTTTAATTTGAAATGGAAAAGGTTGAATTTTACTTGGAAAAAATTTAATTTGATTTGGAAAAGGTTGAATTTGACTTGGAAAAGGTTGAAATTGACTTGGAAATGCTATATATTCTAATTTTAATTTATTCATCTTTATACCAGGTTCATCTTTATACCAGCTACAGGTCAATAATCTATTTTAAAATACTGGAATTGTGAAATATTATTATTTTATATTTAAAAAATTGAAATTATCTGTATAAAATCTATTATGTAATATATTCAAAATGTTTCAGTTTTATCATTACAATTAGTTGTTATTTGGTTAATTTCAGGGAAAATCAGTACGACCAAACACTTCATACCTCATGGGAAATATTTTGAATTGGTGTCTTGTCCTCATTTAATGTGTGAAGTAGTGATCTATCTCTCTTTGTGGACCATTTTGTGGGGCAATACTAACTGGCCTTACGTTACTTTATGGGTTATGGCAAATCAGGTAGTTATACTATTTTTTAATCAATTTTATATTTTTCCCATTACAATATTGATGTGTGAAATCTGTTGCTTTTATTAGATCGAGTGTGGTCTGTTAAGTCATTGGTGGTACAAAGAAACTTTCAAAAACTATCCTAAGGTTAGGAAGGCAATTATTCCTTACGTTCTTTAAAATAAGGTATTCATTTATTATTTTAAAGTTAAAATATTATTATTTAAATATAACACTATTTTGTATTTAAAATCTAATATAAGTTATTTATGAGATTAAAAAAATGTTCCATTATTTATTTTTTATGTCTATTTTTTTAAATAAATTTATTGTTTTTAATTATGTTTGTTTCTATACTACATTTATCCTTAATAATAAATTTAAAAATACATTAAGTATTTTGTTGTATCATAAATATTTTTTATTGACCTGTTCTGATCTTTTACTTTCACTTACCTATATATGAAATATATAGTAATGGAGAGTAATGCGATCATCAAAATTTTCGAATCCGAGTTTTCAACGGAAATACTTGTTTTGAGGTCTCCTGAGTCCAAATAACCAATTCCCGCCAAATGGTGTGTATGTGTGTGTATATATGAACAGTCTAGCTCAAAAACAGAAAGTTGTATGAAAATGAAATTGAATATTTAAGGTTTTTATATACCTGGGATGTTACAGCAACATTTTCATCTAAATCGCCTAACTAGAAATAGCACTTTATATAATCGATTATACACATTTTCACGATTTTCTCAAAAACGGCTCAAACAATTTTGATTAAATTTATTATATGAGTGTAAAATTAAGAAATTTTTAATATAATGTAGGGTTTATTCTGATTGATGTTCTCTAACAGAGCTTAAATGGCTAATTTTCATTATTTCTTCCTCTAATGTATCTTTAATTTTTTTTTATTTGAAATAATTAAGAATAAGATTACTCACAAGTTCGGAAGAAAGTGAAGTAGAAATAAATGAAGAAAATGTTGCGAATGATGGATCTGTTTGGCAACAAATGCAAGTAGGTGGCACACCTGGAAGAGCACCACTTGATAACATTTTCAGGCAAGAAGTAGGCCTGCAGGCGGATATGCAAAACGCCATATAATGAAAGGTAAAGTTAGTACTGCATTTTCATTGACAATTGACCACCGTATTATGAACCATATAAGAACATGCACAATAGAAGAAGCAAAGAGTGTGTTAGGTTCCGATTGGAGTTTATCTAAAAAAAAATTAGATGCATTTATTGCAATTTTATATGCTCGAGCTGCATATGGAGCAAATAATTAATTAATAGAAAATAAAACCAACAAAATTTGCTCTAAATGTAAAAAAATATGTTTGCGGAAAATGTACAATGGAAACACTTATATGTAAAAAATGCGATGAACTATGAATTAAAAGTTTTTATTTTTTGCTTTTGTAATAGAAATGCTCAACATACAATTTTGTTTAATCATAATAAATTTAATTTTTATTTTTATTTCCTTCCTAATATCCATATTTCATACATTCAAGCATGAAACATAAAGTCGGGTCATTTGACCCGCTATGGTAGAAATAGGTATATATTAAGTCTTGGTATGATTAGTGTTAATAAACAATCTAATAGTTCTAAAGATTTTAAAAGTAAGAAACACTTCACGAACCTAGGGCAGTTTAGCTGAGGGGTTTAACATGCCGCCTGTTTTACCAGGGTATCAAGAATTAGTGCGCATCAGTGAGAGACACTTTCTTTGTTAAAAAAATAAACCAGATCACAGTATCTATTCCACAAAAAAATAAAACAATATGTATAGATGACCGAAACACTGCTGTTCTGCAAGAGGTAGAAGACAAATAGTATGATGAAGTCGCATACAAATGTCATGATGTACAAACGCATACAATCTTATGAGATTAACATTGGAATTGCTTTTTAAGAAGAATTTTTAATCAAGTTTAGAAGAACAAACATTCTGACATTGTATTGCTTTACTATGACATCATATAAATTTCATAGCAATATAGACCTTTTTTTTTCCACATCTTTATTCATTTTTAAGGTAATAACTATGAGAGTAAAAAGTAAATGAGATTGATTTAGTGATAGCTAATGATAAAGTAAATTTTCATGAGATTATGTATATCATTTTATTAGAAACATAATTATTAGAAACCATTTTATGATGAGATATAATGGTACAGTTTAAGAATATTGAGCAATACATAAATATGTAAACATATTCACTGGTATATAAAAAACTCAGAACTAACAAAAAAAAATAATGTAGATACAAAAACATACAAAAGAGAAAGCTAGATAATATTCTTTCTTATTTAATAGTGTCAGGTACAAAAAAGATAAAAATATCTAAACAATATCATCTAATATACTATCAATCTAATAATTTTTTTTCTTAAGGCTTGTGAAGTAAAAATTTTCAGAGTCACATGAAGATGTATTAATAATAAAACTAAAAATAACGAAGCTAATACAATAAAGTCGAATATTTTTTGAAAATTATGAAATAAATCATCTTAAATAAAAACATTAACAAGATCTATTATAATTATCGTTTCATATGACAGTCTTATTTACAATAATAAATTGATTCTAATGTGTTTTTTACCTAACATACATAACAAATAATCAAAATGTTAAAAAATTAAAATAACAAAATGAACTTAAAGTATATGTTTTAACACAGTTTATACTTCAAGGAAAAATGGAAAATGGTACACAATGGCATAAATATAAAAATAATTTCTTATAAAAATTATATTTTTGGGAAGTTTTAAAACAGATTTATCACCAAGGCCATTAATTTACACATGGTGGAATAAATATAGATATGGGATGGTTTTTTACATCTTTTCTAATATATTTACAAGATTAAAAAAAAAATTATTTACAAAGCTTATTTTTTTCTTTATACAAGATAGATTTATGTACAATATCTTTTTCTTAATCTATTTTATAAATAAATCAGTCTGATATACACTTTACAAAAGTGCTACTTACAATTTATACATACATTTATTAGTTTTCATCGATGAATGACATATGATTGTAGTAGCATTCAGTCTTGAAAACTATGGACCTCTCTAAAACATAAATAATCACATTTACTTATAGTTGTACAACAAATACAAAACCTAAGAACATATAAAAAAAAAAAAATTAATGCCATAATGAAAATGATAAAAATATTCTAGAGACAAATCTATATTAATATATAAAGCTAAAGAGTTAGAATTTGAATACCTTGAGTTCAGGTACGAACATGCAGATAATTATCAACTTTATAAAATAATTTTAAGAATGAATCTCAATCTGGAAAACTATGCAATTAGACAAGCATTACTTCTCATAAATTGATTGCTGATAGATGATTGTTTCCTCCACAAACAACTACTTGTTGCCTAATTTGCATCATGTGGAGAAAAACAGTATATTGTGTGAAGTAAAAATCTTAAAGAAAAACCGTAGGCTGCTGATTGACAGGTATTTTATTTATTTTGAAACTTCAAAGTTAAATCATTTCTATGAAAATACCTATTTCTAAAGTTTTATCATTTATAATAATCTAAAAAAATTATATAACTCTTTAATGCTTTAATGATGGTATACTGGGCGAATTGACAGGACAGTAACTACGAGAAGGCAGATAGGGCCTTGGAAAAGAATATTTTTCTGGCCTCTCAATCCTCACTTTATCTTTAGTAGCTAAACAAAGTTTTCATATACTTATTTTATTTGAGAAGGAGTTGGTTGGAGAGTGTGGTCAAATAAATACTAAATTTTTACAATAGTATTTTAATGGTTATGCCGACGTTTTGACCCACTTTGTAGGTCTTCATCGAAAGAGAGGGTGGGGTGGCTGATTGGGCTAAAGCTTGTGCACAGCAAGGCGAGTTGCCTGGCAACCAGATAACAGATTTGAGAGATTTAAAAAGAACGAGTTCACATCTCGGTGTGAGGGAATTTTAAATTTCCTGGCCCAGGAAAATCCTGTATAGCCTAAAAGGCGAGGTAGGGTAGAACAGAAAGGGCTACAAAAGATACAAAATATAAAGCTACATGGTGAAAATAAAATAAATGAATTATAAGTAGATATTAAATAAGAAGCAGTTGTCTGATAAAGAAATAATAAGTTTATATCAGAGATATAACGGGTGACAATAAAGTTGAGATATTAAGTATTACAAATATAAAAGATACAAACAAAAATAGAAAATAAGTGTGTGAATAAAAATAGAAAAAGAAAAAGGGTATATAGCGTGTAAGTCAAAAGTAAACAGAAAAAATTAGAAGAGAAATTTAGAATTTAAGTAGAAATGTAAAAAAGGTTATGATGATGAATAAAGGCACAGTATATATAAATGACAATTGACATTCAGTTTTTTGAAAGTGGTAATGGAATAGTAGGCTATAAGAAGAGTGTAATATGGTATATAGTTAAAGAATAGGTGTGTTAAGAAAGAATCATAATACAAGTCAAACATAGCATGGTATAGGCCACTGCATGTAGCAGTTGATTGACTGGCCGTCAAAACAGGTCTAGTAACACAAACATACATTTATGAATACATAATACAGACTAACACACACCTATATATATATATATATATATGAGAAAGGAGCATAAGAGGCAGGAGTTTTAAGGATGCAGAAGACATAACAGGAACTCTAAATGGACGTGAGAAATTTTGAAGAGGGTTATAATGATTAAGAATTTTTTTTAATGTTAATAATTTGGGAATATGCAAGGGACAGGTTTTGTTTGTATGTTTTTAAGTTAAGTGGTTTGTATTCTAATTTAATGAAAACGCTTTCTGTTAGTCTTTTGTCATGGTTGGATACTGTGGCGAGAATAGAGATGTTGTCGAAGTCAAATGTGTGATTTGAGGATAAGGCGTGTTCAGAAAGTTTAGAAGCAGTTGAGTTATTGGAATAAATTGCGTATTTGTGTTGGTTGATGCGGTCTTTAAGATGGTTTATGGTTTCTCCAATATATCCAACCGCACCCCTTGACCAACTCCTTCTCATATTATATCACGGTCAATTATCTCTAAATAACTTATTTTATTATTTGAATGTCATCATAAATTTAAGACTGGATATCAATAACGGGCTCAAAAAAAAAAAATGAGTTAGACCAGAAAATGTGATCTTAACATTACTAACCTATAAAAAGAGGTTAACCAAACATAATATTCTTGAAATCAGAGTACAAAAAATGGCATGAGAGCTAAGTGGTAGGATAAAACAGGATAAGTGCCAAAATTATTTAAGTGTACATTGTGAATTTGAACTTACTTTTATGATTAAAACCTGTTTAGTAAGCATTCAGTTTATTGTTAAAAAATATTTACTTCTAATATTCAATGTAAGTATCAATATTTGACAACTTTATTGGAGTAAAAAAAAGGAATTTAGGTTTATCTCTTTTGAAGGTTGTAGTCAAATTTCTGAATTTATTAGGGTACTTTTTAAAACCCCTAACAACTTTACATTCATGAAAATAAAATGATAGTTTATCTTTTCATTTATGTTTTGTATATGGTATGCAGTAATAATAGTAATACAAAACAAAATTAATTCTTACTTTTTCCCAAGTTGTTGCCTTAATTCATTGATTTGAGCTCTTCGATTTTGAGCAAGAAGCTTGAGAGCACTCTTCTCTGTTATCAATTGTTTCACTTCTTGTTCTAATCTTTGTATAATCTGAAACATTAAGATAAATAAATAAAATTTAATATAAAGTATGAGTATTAAATAACAATTTATCAAACAGTAAATTATTTGTAGTGTAGTGTTAAGAGAACTTTAATTTAAATGTTTAAATAAGGTATAATTCTCTAATAGACAATTATATCCATTTTGAAAGGAACCACACAAAATTTTCAGAGCTTGAAATTTGAAGTTCTTCACACCAATATCGTCTTTTCTACATCTTGGATTATGTTCTAAAAAGTCAAATATTGAAAACTCGCAATGAAATAAAAAAATTATCTTTAATGAGGGAACAGATAGACATTGTAATTTAATTTAACATTGTAATTTAACACAAAATGTTACCAATTTCAATGTCTATATAAATGCTCGTTTATACAGAGAAATCATCAATTGTAATGAGAGATTGTGCGAGGCACCATTCTAGAAGGAGGAGCGATAAAACCACAGAGCAGAGAATGAAATGTAGAAATGTATTCTATTCTCTGTGGATAAGGCACACCTAAGTCAAAAACTTGGACCCAGGTGAGAAATCAGTTCTCTTGTGTTTTATTTATTATTTTCAGAAATACAATTAAGATCAACAAAGATATTCTCAACAAGAATGAAGATGATCCACAGTTTAGTAGATTAGGAAAGGGATCAAATTGTAAGCAACCAAAATAATCATTAGATATATTCCAAGCAGACACAATAAGAGGACATATATAATTTCACTATTAAAAGAAAAAAACAACCAACTATAAAATATTTACTGGCTTCGTTAAAATAGTTTAATTTATATTATTTTCAAAAATCATGAATTGGATAAGAAGTTGTTATTAGAGTGAATAGTTAAGTTTCATGAAGAGGACAATTTAGAAAAAAGTATCAAATTTTTATTATATCAAAACAAACGATATTAAATTTAGAAACCCAACTTTTCATATTTATTTAGACAATGTATTTAATAAAAATCCTACATAGTCAAGAATTTTTATATGCGGCCTCCTGGCCCAGAGAAAACAGTGATACCTTCTGAAACAGGGACATAGTATTCAAACTTTTTTTTTACACATTGAAGATTACAGCTAAAGTCTGGTCAGGATGGGTTGAAATTTATTTTGTGGCAGGCCCACAAAATGAATGAATTTCTTACTCTGGTTAGAATAGAGTGGTCAACGTACAGTTCGTGAACAATTGATTTCAATAATAATTACAACAAATTATTAACATATAAGCTACTTACTTTATCTTTATTTTTTTGAGGTGAAGACATTTCTAGTCCAGCCATTGGACTTGTTAAAACTGAAGACATTTGCTTAAGGGATTGTGATTGTTTCAATATTCGCAGTTCTTTAGTCAGTTCCTCCACCTATAACAACAAGATAATTAAAGTTCAATACAAATAAATAAAACTTCAAGAAACAAAGTATTAGTGTGATTATAAAAAAATACATAACAAGAGAAACCACATAAGGAAATACCAGTTCTTCAAGCAGGAAACTAAATATTTTATTAACTTGACTTATTCATTATCAGAAGATGATTACAGCTCCCAGAGTTTACATGAATCATAGATCATTAGGTTCAGCGATAGCATCATTAATCAGATCTTATCTTTTGAAATGTCGTGAACAGTATGATTTAAAATAAACCATGGTTTATAAACAATTTATAGTTAAAACAACATTGAGTTGTTTGTATATTGTTTATGAGGACACGTTTTATTTGTATAACTGCTACAATGTTTTATTAAGAACTTTGTTCTTTTTCCTAGAAAAAGAAGGAGACATGGGTATCTTAAACTCTCCCTTAACCCTAAATCTAAACATTAAAAGCCTGCGGAATCAATAATTGCCAATCTTTTATAGAAACTATCAAACTATCAGTGGTCAGAGCTATCAAACTAATACTAACCCTAGAGATCATCGCCTATTACCAGGGAGAATTTCAAAATAAACCAAAGAGAGTTGAACCATCATTTGCTTTATCCATTACTATCAAATCCAAGCTAAGCTGGAGCCAAGGAATCCAAACTATAGCAAATCTTAACACATTGAGGAAAATTCATTTGAAAATAATCATATTGAAGGACCAATAAAGATAGGCTATTGGGTTGACAAATAAGTCCTTTCGGTTGTTCAGGGTGAAATAAAACTCAATGTATTATAGATATAAAATTTATTTTAATCTACAATATATTGACCATTATTTAATATGACTTTCTCCCATCTTTCCACTAGCTGCATAATGCCATGTGTTCATAGGATTTCTGGAGTTTATTGTTAAAAAATTGATCCAAGTGGTTTTTTGATGTCCTCTTCCTTTTGGAATTTCTTTCCATTCATGGAGTTTTACAGAGACTGGAATAAGTGGTAGTCACTTGGAGCTAGGTCTGGTGAATAGGGAGGGTGTGGCAAAAGGTCCCATCCAAGGTTCAATAATTTATTGCGAGAGACCAATGAGATATGGGGCCTAGCGTTGTCTTGGTGAAACACAACACCCTCCCAATTTGCCAGTTCTGTACATTTATTTTTTATTGATTGAACCAATTTTTTTTAATTATGAACAGCATAGAGTTGATTCAATTGTTTGTTCTGATGGCAATAACTCACAGAAAATAACACCCAAGAAATCCCACTATATGGAAAACATTGTCTTCTTTGGATCCAATCCGGGTTTTGACATTCTTCTAGGAGCCTCACCACTAGGTCCCCAAGATTTTCTAGAGATTTCATTATCGTAAAATATCCATTTTTCATCATCTGTTACCAACCTTTTCAAAAATGGGTCGTTTTGTTACTGTTTCAGTAATGAATCACAAACAGAAATGCGTGTTGCCAAGTTTACTTTGGTTAGAGAGTGAGGGACCTAAACATCAAGCCTGGAAACATAGACAAGCTTGTGCAAATGGTTTTCTATCATTGTGTGTGTGACACATTTACGGCCATAGCAATCTCTCGCATTGATTGGGTGGGCTTTTGATCATTAATAGCCTTAACATTGCTCGTTTCAATTTCATGTGGGCGACCAGACCATCCTTGATGTCACAATTTCCTGAATGAAATTTGGCAAACCAATTGACAGGTACGTTCGGTTAAGGCATCATTCCCATAAATACTGCAAACTTTTCTATGAGCTTCTGCAGCATGCTTATCTTTTTTAAAATAATACAACAAAATATGCCAATAATGAATATTTTCTTCCATATTCACAGTGCAATAGCAAACACAATACTAAGCTATTTTCAACAAGAATTAACAGAATAGTTGTTGACATATAACAAATAGGATAAACAATCCACCTTAGGGATTAATTCATCAGATAAGAAGTGTATCATAGCGACATAAAAATAAACAGAAAAACCGAAAGGACTTATTTGCCAACCCAATAATACAGATTTCCATGCTCAGTTAAAAGTGTACTAGCCACTAACACAAAGCAACTAAACAATACTTGGATAATTAAAGTAAAATATTTGAATAACATTAATTAGTGATATAAGAAAAAAATTAATACCTTTATTTCAGCCAACTCAGCTTTCTTCTGAAAAGGAAGAGTGTCACTTTCCAATCTCATTTCTAATTTTGAAATAGCCTTATTTTTGTTGAATAGTTCTAATTTTAAATGATTCATCTCTCGTTTGATTCCATCCAAGTAACTTATTTCTGAAAGGTAAATAAAGTATATAAATTTATTAAATATGAAATAGCAAACATTTGGCAATCCTTTTTTTATTTGATGTAGAAGTTTTTTAGAAGAATTGTGGGGAAAACAAGGAGAGGCCGTGTCCGAAATGACAGGATCGGGGAGGAGCTAAAGATATGCCCCGTGCTAGAAACTCTGGAGAGGAGACAGCTGAAGTGGTACAGGCATGTCTACCGGATGGACCACCACAGAGACCCAGTTAAAACCCTATAGGTGAGGTCGATGGGGAGGAGACCGAGACGGCGACTAAGAACCTCATACGTTAGTCATTTGGAATGAATTGAAAGACGAAGAGGGAAGATCCTGGAAGAGATGAGGAACCTTGCCGGGAAACAGGATGCATGGAACAGATGGCTGGAAGCACCCCCACTCTGAGAGGCAAATGGGTGGAAGAGAAAGAAGAAGCTCAGTTAGTCCAGAAGACCATTGAGTCGGCATTTCCTCCTCTAGTCAGATCCTAAGTGTCAGGTCACATATTTCATTATTCAGAAGTTCGGCCCTTATTTTAAACAGTTCAGCTTTTTTTTTTTTTTAAATATCTATTGCATCCAGAAATTCATCATCGGTCGTGTTTCTGGGATATGAAATCCTTTCTCATAGCAACCCATTTGAATCTTTTATGAGATAGTGTGTTCCTAGGAGCACGATCCATTGATCGCTACAATTTTTTTCACAATTTATAAAAATTAAACTTCACCAGAGTAATTATATGTTTTACATATTTTTACAGATACAATTCAATCAACTACAGAAATACCCAGAACAACGATCCTGGGTAAAGATCTCGGTCTTTACAAGTAAAATAAAAAGTAATCCTAAATCCTAATAATTTATTTTATGCTTCAAATATATATTTTTATAATTATTAAAAATTTATTGTGAAGTAACACAGTTTTAAAATACTTTTGAAGTAATAAATAGAGTAAATTATAAATAATAAACATATGTTTTTGTTCCAAATTTTTTTAGATATGTATGCTTATAAAATTGCAAAAAAATCAGTAAATTCTTTAAAAAAATAACCAAGCAAATGAAATTTGACTTAAAAGTAAATTAATAAGGGAATATATTATATTAAAAAAAAAAGTAAATCAATTAAAAAATAAAGTTCATAGACCATGAGTATTTTGTTATTCATTGGGAATAATGTGGTCCCTTACAATAGAAGTAACAGAAATGGAATTCCTTGGGCCAGAGAGAAGGTAAAAGTAGGACGGTTTCAGAAACCACACTGAGGAACATGTTAGCCTGTACATCCTCTTTCTATAACACGTTAGAGAGAAGTGATAAATTAAACTAAATTATAATGTAAAAGCTATATAAAGTTTCATATATTACCTTGATTCTTTAAAGACTGGAGGCTTTTTTCTAAATCAGTTATCTTCCTTTCTAATTCTAATTTTTCAGACTCAAGAATCTTTTTCCCAGCATTAATACTTATAAGGTTTTTATCTTGGTTTTCAATTTTCATTTGTAATGAAAGAATAACTTTCTCTTGAGAAGAAATTTTTTCTTTAAGTTGGTGTGTTTGTAAGAGCTCCTTTTCTAGTTCTTGCTTTTCTTTCATCCACTTTTCCTCTTGTAGTTTTCCATTTTTATACAAATTTCCTATTTCATTTTCATGGTATTTAATATCATTGTTGAGTTCTTCGCATTCTTCCTCTAATTGTTCTGCTTTTTCCTGTGTTTCCTTCAATTCTTCCTCTAACTGTTTTATCATTTCCTGTGAATTTTTCAATTCTTTCTCACAGAATTCTACTTTTTCCTGAGCTTCTTTTAATTCTTTCTCAAGTGGTTCGACTTTTTCTTGCATTTTCTTTAATTCGTTTACCAGCACATCTTTTTCTATTGTTAAGTTATTTATCAGAGTAAGAGCTGAAGAAAAATCTGTAACATCTACTTGCAACATAACAGAGAGTTCTTCTAAAAACATGTAAATATCCTTAGAAAATTCTTCACATTTGTTTTTCACACACAGTAATTTTTCTTCGAGTTCAATAAGCATTTTATCTTTGCTCTGCAAATCCATCTCAGATTTACTTTTCTCTTTAATAAAAACATCTCTTTGTATGGCCATTTTGTCTTCCAACCTTTTGAATTTTTCTAGAGATTCTTGCAGTTTTTGATGAAGTTCAGAATTACCCATTAAAGCATCTTTGTAGCATTGCGTTTCTTTTTTAAGTTTCAGTTCTAAATCACTAATTTTAAGAAGCTTGCAATGTAGATCTTCTTCTAAATTGGTTTTCCATAATTTGAATGTTTCGCGTTCATGCTCTAGTTGTTTATTAAGATCGCAATGCTTAGTTTTAATATCTTCAGCTTCTTTCTTGAAAGGACATGATTTATCCAAATGACTATTTGAACTAATTTCCTCTAAATATGCCACTTTTTCTTTAAGCTCGTTCTTTAAATGAAGCAATTCATTTTCCTGAAGAGCATTAACTTCTTTCACTTTAAAAAGATCCGCATCTAATTTAGAACATAAATCTTTTTGTGACTGTAAATTCTTGTAGTGTTCTTCAATCAAATGTGCTTTTTCAGTTTTTAAATTTATCAACTCTTGACGAGTTTTTTCTAATTCACTTTTAACAGAACAACTAATTTCTTTTTCTAAATTTAAATTCATGAAGCATTCTGATAATTGATTTTCCTTCGCTTCCTTTTCTTTGACCAATGTACTTATTTCCATTTTACAATGTTCCAACTCCAAAGTAAGAGAAGTAACTTCTTCTTTTATTCGTTTATAGTCAAGATTATCTTTAAGTAAATCTTCAATTGTTTTTTGGGCCGAAGTTAAATCCTTACTAACTGAGTCTAAATTCAGAAGCAAATTATCAATTTCTTCCTGCATAATTCTTTTTTCGTTTTCTTCTTTATTGAGTTTATTATTAACACTTTCTATTTCTTTTTTCAAATTATCTACTAGAGATTCTTTTTCTTCATACATGTTTCTTGATTGCTCTAATACTTCTTTCTCCTTCAAAAGTAAGGCCTTCTCATTCTCTAATGAGCTGTTAAGTTCCCTTAATGATGTTATTGTTGACTGTAATCCTTCAACGATGTTGGAATCTTCTTCTTGATTACGCATCGATATCACGTTATTCTTCAATGCAGCATTAAGTTCATTAGCCATATTCAACTCTTTCTCTAAGCTTTCTATGAATTTAGCCTGATTTTCAAATTCTTCATCAAATTTATTATTCTGTTGCTTTAACTGAGAATTCAAATCGTCAATCTTCAGATTCAAGGATTCTATTTTATCAAGATGATTACTTAACGAACCTTGGATTTTCATTTCTATTTCTACATCTTCATCTAAATCAGTGGAGACTGACTTGTTTTCAGTTTTTATTTCTTTTTGTGTATCGCTTAGCAACTGATGAAGTTTTTCAATTTGAACTTTGTAATTGGCAAGATCACTCTCTAATGTTAGTTTATTATCATTAAAGTTATTGAGATTTAGTACCATAGATTCTCGCAAATGTTGGACTTCTTTTTCCAAATTAGCATTTTCTGTTTTACATTTACTTAAAACTTTCTCTAAACCGAAAATGACTTCAGCTTTCTTTTGCAACGAGTTGTATACTTCTTCACACTCTACACTTTTATTTTGTAGTTTATCATTTAAGCTAGCTATAGAAAGTCTAAGGGTATTTTTCTCATTTGCAGCAGTTTCTAACTGATTATTGGAATCTTCTCTTTCTTTTATGTATTCTCTAATTTGTTCACCGTTTATCTGCTGAGTAATTTGATGCTCAAGTTCAATAATCTTACGGATTTTCAAATTTAAATCGGCTTTCAAAGTTTCATTATCATCTTGAATTTGTTTACATTCATTGTTAAGCCGTTCATTTTCCTTTTCAATTACTTGTAACCACTCCTCCCTTCTTTTTTGTTGTTCTTCAAGTTGCTGTATCCTATCTGTGCTTGAGACTAGTTTCATTTCGTAATCCCCGATCACATCTTTCTCTTTTTCAATGATAGCTATTATCATTGTTTTTTGTAAATCGGCTAGAGATAAGCTCATCAAATAAGATATATCCAAATCAGGTTTTAGCATGTGGAGTTCTTTTGAAAATTTGGACTTGAAGTCTTGGGCATCACATAATTGAGATTCAAGATATGAAACTTTTTCTTCTAGGTCATATTGATCATTTTTCGTGTTCAGATTCACCATTAATTTATATTTACTAATGTTTTTTTCAATGAAAGTCCAGGCAAAGTCATCTATTTTTGTAGGTTCCTCATAATCCAATAACATCAAAAGTTCTTTAACTTTTTCAGAATATAAATCACCTGTTTTTTCACTATTTTTTTCAATTAATACTTGAATTTCGTCCTTCATAGCTTTTTGTGTTTCTACACTTTCTTTAACTAAATTATTAAGTGAATCTACTTTACTTAACAATTCATTTCTTTCTGACATGAGCTGAGTGTAATTTAACTCGAGAGTGGTATATTTGTTTCTTACTTCCAACAGACTGTGTATAATATTCTTTAAATGGACAAAATCATCCCCTAAGTTCTTTATATCAAAAGATATAAGGTCTCCACAGGACTCTTTTATAGTACAATTTAAATTTTTTAAATTCTGTATTATTTCAGTAAGCTTACTCTTGTCTTCTTTCAGATTATTATATTCTCCTAAGTTGACGTACCGTTTAAAATTTTCTTCTATCGATTCCTTTTCCCTTTCTACATCAATGATTTTCTTTTCAAGACTATTACATACATTTTTATAATCCAATATTTCTGTTTCGTAACTAGAAATAAGGTATTTTAATTCATTACTTTTAACATCAAGATCAGTTGTTTGCTTTATCAATGCATCTTTTTCTTTAGTAAATTCCTGAATCATAGTCTTGGAACTTATCAATTCACTTTCCATATTTTCGTACGAATTAAGTAATTCTAAATACTTTTCATTCAATTCATTATAAGATTTTTGGCTATTAAACTTATAATTATCGTAATCGATGTCTCTTTGCTGATATGAAGACAGCAATGTTTCCATATTTTTACTAATGGAAACTAAATCCTGAATAAAAGAATACTTTGATTTCTGAACTTCTGAAGAGATAGAATTTAAACCATCTTTAATATTACTAATACTTTCAGGGAATAATATCATTGATTGTTTAATGTTACAAAATTCTGAATTCAAGGAATTATAAACTTGAGTCATGTTATTTTTCTCTTTCATCAATTCTGTGACAGCTTCATTTAAGTTGAAATGATGCGAGGATTTTATATTTTGAATTAAAGATTGATGAACACTGTCAACTTCTTTCAAGAAATTCTCAAGCCATGCCAGGAAATCAAGATACTTTGATTTATCAGTAAATGAAAAGGAGCTATTAAACTTTTGAAAATCTTCCATGAAATATAGATCTTTCAGATTATCTACAAATAAACAAACTTGCTCTTGGAATTTCAATTGGTCACTCAGAAGATTATCTTTTTCTTGAATAATATTATTTAGATTTTTATATTTATCCATTAAAATACTGTAATCTTTTGACATTGAATTCAAATCATTATTCAAAATTCTCAAATTATTTAACTCCTCTTTCAATTCCCTGTTCTCTAAAACTAAATTATTCATATTATCCCTCAGAACATTATTGGCTGAAGATTCTTGTTCTTGTTTTTCATACAATTCAGATAACTTACAAGAAATCAAGGACAAATCAGCATTCAAGTTTTTGAATTTATGTGTGACTTCAACATTTAAAGATGTGAAGTCACCTTTTATATTTTTAATGTCTGGATCAATTTTTTGTTTTAATACACTACTTTGTTTTACAGAATTTCCGAAAAAATTTAAAAATCCTAAGTCACAGAGATCTTCAGAGTCAACTTGGCTAACAGATTCCATCAAGAGGGTATACATTTGTTCCAACTTCGTAATAATTTGATCAGCAGGCCATGATACATTAGGATTCAACAGTGTTGCTATTTTATTTATAAGCAAGATAATATCATTTTCTTTTTCGCATTTTTCTTTCAACTCACCTTTCAAATTTTGATTATACTCTGTCATAATTTTTAAATCATTCTCAGTTTGTAAAGCATCAGTTAAATCAATTCTTAATAATTCATTTATCTTAGAAAGCTTTTCTTCGCTTAGTAAAGAAACTTTCAATTGTTCCTTAAGCAATATGTTTTCACTTGACAATTCCCTGTTGCACAAAAATAGATTTTTAAAGTGAGAATTAATAGTCTTGTAATCTTGAGAAGTAATGGTTTCTAATGAAGAAAAACTGTTCTTTAGTTTTAAAAAAGAGTCTTTGATATTCTGCAAATTCGATAAAGTTGCTTTCACCACTGACATTTTTTCATTCCAAACTTTATTGTTAGAAAATTCTTTATTAAGAAAATTTTCAATAATCTGGCAAAGACTATAAATAACATAATCTTCTTTTGGTTTCAAGATTTCTCTGAGAGCCGATAACTGTTTTGATATCTCATTGTAATCGGCATTTAGCATTTCTCCTTCATTATTTAAAAGACGAATTAATGTTTTAATGTTTTCGTTATCGTTATAATTTGTATTTTTTGAATTTATTAAGTTACTCTCTTGCAATAAATCAAGATTTTCAAATGTACACGGTTTGATGAACTGTTCTGTCAAAGTAGTTTCCAATTCTTCATTATTATAAGATAGTTCTCTAACAGATGCTAGTGGATCATATTCTTTAATTGAGTTATCAGTTTGAGGTAATTTCCAAATAAACACGGACTGTTCAAGTTGTGAAGAAGAATCCAAAGTAGTGAAATTTAGAGTATTGTCTGCGGAACGTTTCGTGTCATATTCAACATCAACCGAATCATTGGGTGAGTAAGAAACAGAGGTATTACCTGAGATAGTGCTACAATTTGTATTGTTAAGACCATCAACACTTTTTGTACTCTCTGAAACTACATTGGTATGTGATAATTTTTCTGAAATCTCTAACTCATAACTAGAAATTTTATTCTTTAACAGATTTATTTCATCGACATAACTTTTGATGGTCTCCTCATAAGATAAAACTTTGTTTTTTAATGTATCTGTATCTGTCCTAAAATCTTCTATTTTTTGTTCATACACCAGAGTATTAGTTTCTAAGCTTAATACTTTTGATTTCAGGAAACTTATTTCTTCCTCTTTATTTTTTATTTGTTCTTCATAGTATTTAACTTTATTCTGTAATATACATAATTCTTCATCTTTCAAATTAGTTTTTTCTTGATAATCCGAAACTTTACACTGCAGTAAATAAATTTCTTCTTCATTATTTTTAATTTTTTCTTCGTAGCCTAATACTTTATTTTGTAAAATGATAATTTTTTCTTTATCACTTTTTATGGTTTCTTCAAGAATTAAAACATTAGTTCTAAATATGTTCATTTCTTCCTCTTTATCTTTATAAATTGATACTTCATTTTTCAAGTCATTTATTTCTCCTTCATAGCCAGAAATTTTTGTATTTAAAACATTTATTTGTTTAATGTTACTTTCAATTGTTTCTTCAAGACCGGCAACACATTTTCCTAACATGTTTATTTCTTCTTCTTTTTGTTGAATTTTTTCTTGATAACAAGAAACATTATTTTTTAATGCATTTATTTCTTCTTCATTATTTGAAATCTCTTCTTTGTAACCTAAGATTTCAGAGTGTAAGATATTTATTTCTCCTATGTTACTTTCAATTGTTTCTTCAAGAGCTGTAACACTTTTTCCTAGTATGTCTAGTTTTTCATCATTTTGTGTCATTTTTCCTTCATAAAATTGTATTTTTTCTTCATATTCTGACATTTTACTATGTAAAATGTTTATTTCTTTTATATTACAGCTTGTCTCTTGTTCTTTATTTTTAGACTCTTCTTTATAGTCAAAAACTTCATTTTTTAACAAATTAATTTCTTCTTCATAATTATTTATTTTTTCCTCGCAGACTGAGAGTTTACTTTGTAACAGGTGTATAACTTCCTCATTATTTAATTCCTTTTCTTCATATCTTGAAACTTCATTTTGTAATACATTGATTTTGTCTTCATAGACAGAAACTTTATTTAACATTAAGTTCATTTCTTCTTCATTATTTTGGATTTTTTCTTTATAAATTGACACTTCATTTTGAAAATCAGTTATTTTTTCTTCATAACCAGACACTTGGGTATTTAAAATATTTATTTCTTCTATATTATTTTTAATTGTTTCTTCAAGACCTGCAACACATTTTTCTCCGACGTTTAATTCTTCCTCTTTTTGTTTAATTTTTTCTTCATAACTTGAAACATTATTTTGTAATGTATTTATTTGTTCTTCATAGCCAGAGATTTTTTTAAACATTAAGTTTATTTCTTCTTCATTACTTTGCAATTTTTTTTTATAAATTGACACCTCATTCTGTAAAGTAGTTTTTTCTTCTTCATAGTCAGAAATTTTGTTTTGTAAGATATTTAATTCTTCTAAGTTACTTTTAATCGTTTCTTCAAGACTTTCAACATTTTCCCCCAACATATTTATTTCTTCCTCTTTTTGTTTAATATTTTCTTCATAACTTGAAATAATACTTTTTAATGTATTTATTTCTTCTTGATTGCAATGGGTTTTTTCTTCATAATCTGAGATTTTATTTTGTAAAATGTTTATTTCTTCTTTATTGCGGTTTATTATTTCTTCATGACCAACATTACTTTGCAACATTTTTATTTCTTCTTCATAGGCTATAACTTTTGATTGTAACATAAGTATTTCTTCCTTGCTATTTATTTGCATTTCTTCATATGTTGAAACTTTATTTTTTAAACCACTTATTTCATCTTGTTTAAAATTTATTTGTTCTTCAAAGCTGTAGATTTTATTTGACAACAAGTTCATTTCTTCTTCATTATTTTGAATTTTATTTTTATACATTGACACTTCACTTTGTAATGAAGTTACTTCTTCCTCATAGCCAGAAACTTTAGTTTGTAAGATGTTTATTTCTTGTATGTTACTTTTGATTGTTTCTTCAAGACTGGAAACACTTTTTCCTAACATACTTATTTCTTCCTCTTTTTGTTTGATATTTTCTTCATTTTCAGAAACATTATTTCTTAATAGATTTATTTCTTCGTCATAACTTTTTATTTTTTCTTCATAGCCAGAGACTTTATTGAACATCAAGTTCATTTCTTCTTCATTATTTTGAATTTTATTTTTATACATTGACACTTCACTTTGTAATGAAGTTACTTCTTCCTCATAGCCTAAAACTTTAGTTTGTAAGATGTTTATTTCTTGTAAGTTACTTTTGATTGTTTCTTCAAGACTGTAAACACTTTTTCCTAACATACTTATTTCTTCCTCCTTTTGTTTGACATTTTCTTCATTTTCAGAAACATTATTTTTTAATGTATTTATTTCTTCTTCATAACTTTTTATTTTTTCTTCATAGCCAGAGACTTTATTGAACATCAAGTTTATTTCTTCTTCATTATTTTGGATTTTATTTTTATACATTGACACTTCACTTTGTAATGAAGTTACTTCTTCCTCATAGCCAGAAACTTTAGTTTGTAAGATGTTTATTTCTTGTATGTTACTTTTGACTGTTTCCTCAAGACTGTAAACACTTTTTTCTAACACACTCATTTCTTCCTCTTTTAGTTTAATTTTATCTTCATAAGCAGAAACATTATTTTTTAATGTATTTATTTCTTCTTCATTGCACAAAATTTTTTCCTCATAATTTGAGATTTTACATTGTAAAACACTTATTTCTTCTATATTACGGTTTATTATTTCTTCATTGCTAACATTACTTTGCAGCATCTTTATTTCTTCTTCATATTTTTTTAGTTTTTCCTCATATGCTGAGACTTTAGTTTTTAGCATGTGTGTTTCTTTTTCTTTATTTATTTGCTTTTCTTCATAACTTGAAACTTCATTTTGTAATGCATTTATTTCATCTTGTTTAAATTTGATTTTTTCTTCATAATCAGAGACTTTATTTACCATTACATTCATTTCTTCATCTTTATTTTGAATTTTATCATTATAAATCGACACTTCATTTTGTAAAGCAGTAACTTCTCCTTCATAAACAGAAATTGTGTTATGTAAGACATTTATTTCTTCAATATTACTTTGAACTGTTTCTTCAAGACTTGCAAAACTTTTTCCTAACATGCTTATTTCTTCCTCCTTTTGTTTAATTTTTTCTTCATAATCAGAAACATTGGTTTTAAATTTGTTTATTTCATCTTCATTATGTTCTATTTGTTCTTCATATTCTGATATTTTATTGTGTAAAATGTTAATTTCTTCTTTATAACTATTTATTATGCCATCATTACTAACAACATTACTTTGGAGCAACATAATTTCTTCTTCCTTATTTTTGTACTTTTCTTCAAATTCGAAAACTTTATTCTTTAAAGAATTGATTTCTTCTTCATAATTATTTATTTTTTCTTCACAGTCAGTGACTTTATTCAATATTAAGATCATTTCTTTTTCATGGTGTTGGATTTTTTCTTCATATTCTGATATTTTAGAATTTAGAACATTTATTTCTTCATTCTTGCTATTTATTATTTTATCATAAGTAACAGCTTCTTTTTGTAGGACATTTAATTGTTCTTCCATACTTTTGGATTTTTCTTCATAGTCAAAAACTTCATTCTTTAAAGAAATTATTTCTTCTTCATATTTCTTTCTTATTTCTTCACAACTAGAAACATTATTAATCATTAAGTTCATTTCTTTTTCATTATTTTGTATTTTGTCTACATAAGTTAATACCTCATTTTTCAAGACATTTATTTCTTCTTCATCGCATTGGATTTTATCTTCATATTCAGAAATTTTAATACGTAAAACGTTTACTTCTTCTATTTTACTTTTATTTGTTTCTTCAAGACCTAAAGCATTTTTTCCAAGAATGTTTAATTCTTCCTCTTTTTGTTTTATTTTTTCCTCATAACTTGAAACGCTGTTCTTAAATGCACTTATTTCATCATCATGAAACTGGATTTTTTCTTCATATTCCGATATTTTATTATGAAGAATGTTTAACTTTTCTTCTTCATTAATGAATTTTTCTTTATAATCCAAAATCTCATTCTTTAAGGAATTAACTTCTTCTTCACTATTCTTTATTTTTTCCTCACTAGCTGAGACTATAGTTTGTAACCTGTGCAATTCTTCCTGTTTATTTGTCTGTATTTCTTCATACTTCGAAACTTCATTTTTTAAACTACTTATTTCATCTTGCTTAAAATTTATTTGTTCTTCATAACTGGAGATTTTATTCAAGATCAATTTCATTTCTTCTTCATTATTTTGGATTTTATCTTTATAAATTGACACTTCATTGTATAATGCAGTTATTTCTTCTATTTTATTTTGAATTGTTTCTTCAAGACTTGTCAAACGTTTTCCTAACATGCTTATTTCTTCCTCTTTTTGTTCGATTTTTTCTTCATAATCAGATATTTTACTTTTTAAAATTTTAATTTCTTCTTTATTATGACTTATTATTTCTTCATGACCAACATTACTTTGCAGCCTCTTTATTTCTTCTTCATATTTTTCTATTTTTTCATTGTATGCAGTGACTTTTGTTTGCAACATGTGTACTTCTTCCTTGTTATTTATTTGCTTTTCTTCATACTTTGTAATTTCTTTTCGTAGTATAGTTACTTCTTCTTCATACCCAGAAACTTTGATGTGTAAGATATTTATTTCTTCTATTTTACTCTTTATTGTTTCTTCAAGATCTACAATACTGTTTCGTATTATGCTTAATTCTTCATCTTTTTGCTTCATTTTTTCCTCAAAACATGAAACATTATTTTTTAATTCATTTATTTTCCCCTCATACTCTGATATATTACTACATAAAATGTTGATTTCTTCATTTTTATGCTTAATTAATTCTTCGTGAGCAACAGCATTACTTTGTAGAAAGTTTATTTCTTCTTCATATTTTTTTATTTTTTCCTCATTAACTAAGATTTCACTTTGTATTTCTAAAACCTCTTTATTGTTATCAACTAAGTCTAAATCAATCGTTTGAGAAGAACTCTCAACAATTAAAGGTTTTGTAATTACTTTTTCATATTCTGCAAGTTTAGTTCTTAAAATATTTAGTTCAACATCATTATTTTTAATTTCTTCTTCATACTTAACAATTTTGTTGTGCATCACATTCTTTTCTATAACCACTTCTTCCATTTCAGGGTTTTGCCTTTTTTGCTCATACTCTTGGATTTTATTTTTAAATAATATTAACTGTTCTTCATTGCTATTAATTGTAGCATAATCAATAACTGTTTGAGAATGCTGGCAAACCATTATTTTATTTTTTTCATTTTCGACGTCAATGTTAACTCCATGAGGTTTGCATGGGGAAGCAAAACCAATATCCTCACCCTCTTTTGATTCTAAATTAATATTATCCCTGTCTTCTTTCAGTAACTTTTCTGTCAAATTATTATCTTTTTCTATTTGAGATAAGAAAAAGTTAATGTTACATTTGATCTTCTCAAATGATGTTTTGTTTGTTTGATTATCTTTCTCATCCAAACAAATCAAATCATTAGAAAGACAATCGGAAAGATAATTTTCAAGTTCAGATAAATTGTTTTCATAAGTAGAAATCAAGAGATTTTTGTCAGCCAAATTTTTATTCAAATCTTCGACAAGTTTTTTATGCATTTCTATACTATGTTTGTATTTGGCTAATTCTTCTTGTAATGTATTGATTTGAGATGATCCATTATTTTGAACATTATCTCCTTTACAGTCTACTCCATAGATGTTATTTAATGTTCTTCCATTATCAAGTGAATCGTGACATAGTTCAAAAAGTTCAGAGATATTTTGTTCGACAGTTTGAATGTTATATTCATCTGCAGTGGGTATTAATTGGCCTCCAAGTGTGAAATTCAAATCTTTCACTTTTTCCCTATAAAAAAAATATACATACATATATATTCATATACAAAACATAACCCATAAGTATATTGATGTTGTTTGATGGATTTGAAACTTTTCTTACAATTAAATTAGGACAATATGTCTTCCCAAATTAATAATAAATGGGATACAGTGCAATTGCAATAATCTAAACTAATTGCTGCAGAGGTATGTTAAACAAAATATTATATTATAGAGGGTGTTTCGAACAAAATATTATAGAGGCTGTTTCGAACAATTAAATTTAAAACTCGATAAAATATATACAACTTCATTTATTGGTCATCAACACGTAAAATTGAATTGATATTTCATAAAAGGAATTTTTATTTTCTCTCCAGTATATAAAAAAGTTTTCAGAGACTATCATATTTTATTTTATTTTAGTATTCGGAGAGTAGGAGATTACAGGAGCTCTCCTATCAGCACTAATTAAACAGTTGTTCATTTAATTACATAAGTGTTGAGCTCTTGTAACCTTTTTTCCTCCTAATACAAAATAGAGATTTACACCCTGGTGTCTTTGTTACAATATTTAGCTTCTGTAGCCTCTTACTATCCTAATACAAAATAAAGATTTTAGGCTAAAAATTTTTATTTCAGATAATGGTATTCATCTGAAGATGGTAGATTGATTTTACCTAGGTGACAGCAGTTATTTTTCAATCTAGATAGACATTTCCCCTTGAATATGATATATAATATAAATGATTTAATTAAATTATGCTTATATAATTATAATGAAATAGAAAAGGAGGTAAAATATAATGTACAATGAAAATATTAGAAATAAAAGGCTTAAATTGATGTTGAGTTTATATGAAACTGGACAAATTGAATAAATATATTATGATTACAATTGGCAATAAGTATAATTATAATTAAATAATAATATAAATTGTCAATAAGGAACAATATATAATATAGGTTTTTAAAAGAAATTAAAAATTTGTCAGAACTGTGGTTTCATTCAGTTTATTTTATGCTGATAAAAAAATAATACATCTGAACTACAGAAAAACCTTTTTTTTCCTTAAGTTCTTCCCTATCTCACCTTTTAGGCTATATGGGATTAAAACAATAAAGGGTATACAATAGTAATTTGTATTTTAGAGGTTAGACACTATGGGATTTATTTGTATAAGTGGCTAAGCTAATTTTTTAATCAAGAACACTACAATATACCACATGGTATCAAAATAACAACCAATAAAAAAACAACAGTTTTTGTAGTTGTTTCCTCTATTAACTTTTTTTTTACCATTCAGATTTGATGACATTTTATGGCAGGATATGTCCTTAGATCTGTTAAAACACTAAAAAATAAAATCAACTTTAAGGATAGAATGCATGTTCGTTCTCTAGCTCCACTTGAATACTTTTATAAAACTGATTGAATAAAAAAGGATTTTAACTCTGGCATTAATATTCCTCCCTCTCCCCTGACCCAGGAAAAATCCTGTATAGCCAAAAAGGAAAAATCACACTTGGAAAATTAGAAAAGAAAAAGAATGTGAACAGACTTCATTTCTTTTTCACTGTCTTTAAAAAGCAGCAGTAAATCCACTTTAATACAGATCTATGCCATTTTTTTCGAAGCTTATATGCCTTTCAAAATTAAGAAAAAAAATTTAATAAAACTTTCAGAAAAGTATACAGGACAAGCTGTTCCATATATTCATATTTTATTTATTATTTTTTTACATTCACATCGATTTATCAAAAAATAAATACAGTAAAACGTATCTATAGTGGGCATATATGGTGAATCAAATTTTGTCCGCAATAGAGATATTTTTTATAGAGAAAATAAAAGCAAAAAATTATAATTTTCTAGTCATATTATTTAGGTTTGGTGCCATAAGTCTTATAGAGTACCGATTTTGAAGGAGAATTTCATATATTTGCGATTTTACTTCTTTAATATGTATTTTGTTGTATCAATTAAATTTTTAGTTGCATTAATTTTCTGTTGTGTATTATGATTACTATGCCAATTTAGTATTCTATTGCTCTGTTGTTATTTCCTTTTTACCCCACGACGTTTTTAGTAATCCTCTTTCATAAATCTAGTCTTGGATGAACGTATATTTAAGAAATATTAGACTTAATATCTACTACAAACAAGGTATATATTTCAAAATCAAATTACTATATGATTTCTCTCTTTTCTTAGAAATAAAATTTAACATTACGTTAAATGATTTGTATGAAAATATTTAGAAATTAATGAAATTCCATGAAATAAAGGATGGACAACCTACAATATAAATGATATATAATAATAGTGATATATTAAAGACAAAATTTAATAAAGGGTGTATGATAAGAAATTAAAAATCAGCAGATTAAAATTTTAATTGATGACTCATGTTAATATTGTTTATTTACTAAAATATTTTGAGGTTTGATTTCACATATAAATCAGGTCCCTTTATATTATTACAAAATTTTAAAATTCTCATTCCTTTTTTGTAAGTTCTGAGATTTTTATGTAAATATTCATCTTTTGTTTTCCTATCAAGTTTTAATATTTCTATTTCATAATACTAAAATAAAAACATTTACCTTTCAGAATATAAGAAGGAAATTTTTTCATTCATTTTTGTTATACGATCTTCTTTTATTCGCAGTAGGCTCCAAGCTTCCTAAATATAAAAGTTACTGTAAATTGAAATGTTGAAACATAAGATAATTAGTATTTATAATAAATGTATGTTGGCGTATTATAAATTCTTAGTACGTTAGCAAAACTTAATGTCAAAATAGTTGACATCAGGAAGCTTTTTTTTTCCCAAGCCTTTTGTTTTTTCTTCTTCCTCTCTTTTTTTTTTTCTTGGCTAATGCCACAAAATACTTGTACACACTCCAAAAATACCTCAAGAACAAGGTGAAATGGAATAGCTAGAGTGACAGTACAGTATTCATTGACCATTTATGGAGTAATAAAATAAATAGCCAGTATTATTGATGGCGCAAGTGGGACAAAAAGGAATACCCTTCAATATTTTCATCAGTATTTAAAAAATTGTCAAACTAATTATAAATTTTTTTGATAATTTGTGCTAATTTTGCTAAATATATATTATAACAGATGGCCATAAAGTAAGAGGACATAATAAATATTAAGTAATTTTAGCAAAGTGAAAAACTAAATTTTAGTCATCAGAAATTGTTTGATTGTCTTGTCTACAATTTAAAGAAATGTTTTAAAAACCAAATAATGAATTTTACAGGTTGTAATAATTGTAACTTTATTGTTGTTTTATTTTTTGCCACATCTACATTTTTCATCTATTTTTTATGTCTTTAATTAAGTCCTCCATAAATATTGATTTTTGTTAAGAGCCATGATGTTCAGAGTAAGAAAGATAATGTTGAATGAAGACTGAATTTAAAGTGAAAATTTTACTATTTGTAAAGAAATACATTTAAAGTACATAACTTCCATAGGTACAGCCACTTCTTTTAAAACAAGATCTTACTTGAATTTTCATTATAAATAGAAATAGACAGAAATTTTATAAAATACACAAAATATTTCTTTCTAATTGAAATTCAAAATCCCTAAAACAAATTTCATACATAGAGATTTACGATGAAAAGTAATTTAATATACAGATACTATAATTACCTTTTGCAGTATAAAACTTATTTCATATTTTGCCAGTGAGTATATTTATATACACTCCTCGTCAAAAGTATTGCAACACCCATAATTCTCGAGATTTTCTAGGTTTTGAACTTAATTCATGCTTTGTTTATACTTATAGTAATACTGTTTATTAAATAAAAGACATTAGGGATTAGAAACATCATTGTTATTCACTGCTTACCAACAATCGATGGAATTTTGGTTTATTCATTTCAAATTTCCTTTCAGTCCATGTTTATCTTTCATCTGCCTCATGTTTGTTCTCTCTTTTCTCTTTAGTCTAGTTATAAAAATTGATTTTATTCACAATGAATCGTTTAAAGCCACGATGATTTGGTCAGAATCATTGCTCTCTGTGAAGAAGGAAAATCATTGCATAACATCGCTAATCGCGTTGGGATTCACTATTCTTCCGTTTCAAGGACCATAAAAAGGAACAGGGTGACTGGTAGCTATTCGAGGCGACCATCAGGGTGTCCCATAGATGACCTATTCATTAAAATGAATGCACTGCGGAAGTGCAATTCTACAGCTTCTTCCATTAAAAACTTGATCGCTGGTGTTTGAGGGATATCAATCTCAGAGTCAACGGACATTAAAAGACTGAGAGAGTCAAATCTCAGCTCAAGAAGGCCAGTGAAAGGTCCTCTTCTCACTGCAGGACACCACGTAAAGAGATTGAGATTTGCAAGGGAACATCAATCTTGTACTGTGGAAGAATGGAAAAAAGTTTTATTCAAGGATGAGATAAGGGGGGCCCTTAACAGACCAGATGGCCGTGAAAGAGTTTGGTATAATCAGTGCTGCACATTAGAAACCGAGCCATTTGGAGGTGCTTCTATCATGTTCTGAGGTAGCATGTCTTGGGAGGCACGTACCGAGTTAGTGCCAATCCAAGGAGGGCCTTGAATGCTTTGAGGTATGTATAAATGATTCTTCAAGATCATATAGGGCCTTTTATGTCGTTCATAGGCTCTGAATAGTTGCTCATGCATGATAAAAACCTGTTTCACTACAACCCATGAAGGGTCTGGGGTTCAGTACTATTTAGGGAAAGCACTGTTTCTAGGTCAAAGGTTGTGCAAGGAGGTGATTTAACCGAGATCACGCTCAACCGCCAGGTTTTCCCCCTTAATTAATTATTTAATTAAGGGTACCCACTTTATAGAGGCTGGGTGTGCCCCAGGAGGGACTCCTGACCCAAGGTCGCCCCAAGGCCAATGAAACAGATAAATAAATTTTCTGCCATGAGCCAGGGTTCGAACTCGGGACCTTTGCATTGGAAGCTCAGTGCCCTACCACTGAGCTACCCCGCTCCCCTTCATGCATGATAATGCCCGTCCTCAAAAGGAGAAAATACGTTTCTGAGTACCAGAACACAAAAAATATCCACACCATTGATTGATCAGCAAGAAGTCCTGACCTTAACCCAATCGAGCACATTTGGGATTATCTCAAAAGAAAGGTTGTCACAAGATTTACCTCCTACTGCTCTTAAAATGCTAAAGGCAGGTATTGGAGGAGTGGGACAAAATATGCCAAGACGAGTGGAAGCAGTCATTCAAGCCAGAGGAAGCAATACCTCTTATTAAATATAAATTAAAAATTAAATAGTAATTTAAAAGTTAAAATTGTAAAAAAGGAAAATTTTAAAATGCAAGTTTTCTAACTTTTTTGTTTATTGGAAGAAATATTGTAATTTATTTTAATAAAACTTGTATATATCTGGTTTAAAAATGTTTATTATAGACTTCAGAACCTTTCTTTATTATAAAAAAAACAGACATTTTTGTAAAATTCAAATAGTTCAAAGTGTTGCGATACTTTTGACGGGCAGTTTATAATGTGTTAATCTCAACATTTGTGTAAAAACAAAAAAAAGATTTGGACCAAACTAGCTTCTGATCGCTTCCTAGAATAATACTTATGATTTATGTAGTTTAATTTACCTCTAAACTCCTTTTTAAATCATCTTCCCTATGCTTCCATTTTGTTTCCAAAATTTGCTTTTCTGTTTGTTCATCGACATATTTTCTTTTTATTTCTTCCAATTCTTTGCAAATCAAGTCCTACAATCAATGAGAAAGTTATTAATTAATTATAAAACATAAATCAAGAATGTTAAATTTAGTAAATAATTAAACTCTACAGCTGAAAACAAAATATCTTAACATAGGATGGCCTTTATAATCTGAACCCTAGTAATCTGAAACCATGGTAATCCGAAAAATAAAAAATAAAAAATAAATTTGACTGATGAGGGATGGATTGGAAATGCCTCTGTTCCTTAGAACAGAATACTTGAATTGCTTCATGAAGCAGTGTCAAAATCATATTGTGATGTCCCTAAACAGAAAACATATAACCTTTTTTGAAGCAAAAATCGTATGAGTGTCCAATTTCTGCGAATACATTAGCTAAAAAGTCAAAGTTTTTCTTTAATAATTTTTTTAATAAGGATTACAAAGTATATTTTAATGTCAGTAAGATTGGCTTGATAATTTCAAAAGCAGATATGGAATACGTTTTTTATATTATTTTTTATTTCACTGGAAAATTTCTTTACACCTATTTGATTTATCATTATACACAGATCACAAACGCGATAAAGGCATTTAACACTTGCTTGTGCGATCAGGTGTTTAGGTCTTTAGCAAAAAAATTAGAGACTCAACATACATTATATGATCATTTTCAGAAATAAGAATTTAACCTTTGATAGTCAGAACAGGCCATGCATTCTACGTGTCTGGATTATCAAGACCGACATGTGTCACAACAACTTCACAGCCATTGCAACAAATTCAATACAAAAATCTTCAACACACTATAGGTTTGGAGATGGCTCAGGTGAGGCCCAGTTCCTTGATTTTTCCTCATACAAAAACAAAACTATTTCCCCAAACACAATAAAAATTTTATATGATCTTCAGGATAAATTATAACAAAAAATTGTGTTAAAATCATCTTGGAGAGAAAGAAATCAGCTGCATTACACAACTTTCACTCATCATCCTACCAAAAATTATAAATGGTATAACATATTCATTTAAAACAATTAATTATCATATGTTTTCTTCACACATCTATTAGGTCAAATTTTTGTATTTTCACAACTATTCATTACCTTCTTATACTAACCCAGTCAAAATAGACATGTTGCCTTGCAAAAGGTCGGGTAATTCTAATTTCTTTTTTATTGTTAGGTATGTAGTGAATAAAAAAATCAAAGTGTCCCCCCTTGAAAGCTTAGTGGGTTCACTGCAGTGCTCCAAAAACCACTGAAATTTCCAACTTTTTTTGGCTTCCGCTAAATATCTCTTTTTTAGAACAACATAGATAAAAAATGGTTATATTCAATTTTAACCAACTAAAAATTAGCTAACATTTTTTTCTAGCCCAACAGGAAGCGAACTATCGAAATTTACCCATTTCGATATCTTTACAATACTGCTGTTTCAATTTTGAACGGAAGAATTCTGTAACTCCCTTTTAAATCTGGTCCAGGGAATCAGGAGGTTTTTCTTGAAGACAATAAGCCATTGACTGGAATGGTAGACGGTAGTTGGTCGGTGTTTTGAAAAGTATGTTGTGGGCCAGACTCCCCTACCTTGCACCAGTGTTGGGAAAAATTTATCTTAAATAAAAGATAATAGATAACGAATAATTTATTTGATCCTTCAACTACAAATAACAAATAATTCTGTTTATCTTTTATCTAGATAATAAATAAATTCAAGTTATCTATTAGCTTATTATTCCTTATTCAAGTTTTTAAAAATAAGTTTAGAATAATTTGACGCTAATTTTATTTAATTTTCTATATAAGGGCTAATTTGTATATTTTCAAATCCATAGTTTGAAATGATATACATTTTAAGAATACGCCACTGCGTTGTGACTTTTCTGGGTTTTTCCAATTTCTTCTATATCAGGGTTTTGGGAGCGCTTTTTATGAAAATACTTTCGGATTTGAGATAGCACCCCTGGGCATGGACTTTTTGTAACTTTGTGGATTTAATTGATATTAGGGTCGACTATTATGTTTTGAGGGCGCTTTTTATGAAAATACTGTAGGATTTGAGATATTGCCCTGGACATAGACTTTTTGTAACTTTTGGGATTTAATTGATATGAGGGTCGACTATTATGTTTTGGGGGTGCTTATTATGAAAATACTTTCGGATTTGAGATAGCGCCCCCGGGCATCGACTTTTTGGATTTAATTTATATGAGGGTCGACTATTAGGTTTTGGGAGACGCTTTTTATGAAAATACTTTCGGATTTGAAATTGTACCCCAGGCACCGATTTTTTTTAACTTGATTTAATTGATATGAGGGTTGACTATTATGTTTTGGAGAGCGCTTTTAATGAAAATACTTTCGGATTTGAGATTGTGCCCCCAGGCACAGATTTTTTTTAACTTGATTTAATTGATATGAGGGTTAACTATTGTTTTGTGGGGTGCTTGTTATGGAAATAATATTGGATTTTAGATTGCGCCCTGGGCACCGATTTTTTGTAATCTTTCGGATTTTATCGATATCAGGATCGACTATTATGTTTTGGGGGGTGCTTGTTATGGAAATAATATTGGATTTTAGATTGCACCCCCACCTCCTCCAGCTTCGACTTTTTGTAACTTTCTGGATTCAATAGCTATCAGGATCAACTTAACTTTTCGGATTTAATTGATATGAGTGTCAAATATTATCTTTTGGGAGGGGGAGCGCTTTCTATGAAAATACTGTCAGATTTAAGAAAAGTAGATAGGAGGGGGAGGGGCGCAATTTAAAATCTGACAGTATTTTCATAAAAAGTGCTCCCCAAAACATAATAGTCGACCTTCATATCAATTAAATCCGAAAAGTTACAAAACGTCGATGTCGAGGGGCGATATCTCAAATCCGACAGTATTTTCATAAAAAGCGCCCCCCAAAACATAATAAGTCGACCCTAATATCAATTAAATCCACAAAGTTATAAAAAGTCGATGTCCGGGGGAGCTATCTCAAATCCGAAAGTATTTTCATAAAAAGCATACTCATACTATCACAGCTCACGCGTGTTTTGCCCTTGAAATAGCATATTATATATTATAGAAGTAATCATAAAAGTCAGCTCTCGGAGGTTCTCTTTAATTACTTATCAAATATTTTCATAGTTAATTTACTGTAAAATAGGGTGACAATGTTACCTCTTGGGTGACATTTGCACATTGCTGATTTTTAAATTAAAATATGTCTGGCGGTCTTAAAAGTATCAGGAGCTAGTTTTTATTTCTCCTCACTCAATCTGTTAGGTCATCATCCACTCTGTTCCTTCCAAGACCACTAGAAAAATTTTAATTTAAAAATCAATACTGTACCAAATTAACCTTGGATGTAACATTTTCATCCCATTTCTTATATATCATATTTCTTATTTTATAACTATTTTTTATGTTTAACGGTCCAGCCAAAATAGTTCAATAAAGATAATACCTGCCAGATATTACAGACCACTTGATTTTACATTAACATAATGAGCACAATTTTTTTCATTATAAATTTAAAAACAAAAAAAGCATAGATACTTAGAAAAAATATTTTAACTGAAATACCTTTTCTTTGTAACTAATCTCCAATTTATTATTTGCTTCATCAAGACTGCTTCTGAGTTCCTCAATCCCCTGTAATGAAGAAAATCAGAAATGTTCTTGAGCAAGGAATAACAGTTTGATACATAGTCAATATATAAACAAAAATTATTCTGTTTAAAAAGAAAATTACATTGGGAACTCTAATTTAATTTTCTGATTAAATTATTTCACAGAACAATAGAAGGGGTGTTTTCACTGTTTACATATAAACACATCATTATTATTCTAAAGAAGCTTTTTCTATCTCTCTCACTCAGGTCTTCTACATGTTATTGTATAAACATTTTAATTCAGATATCTAACAAACTAAAAATAGATACAATGAAGCTTAATGTGTCTTGTATTAAAAAAAAAATGAATTTGTTCCAAAAAAAAAAAATTAAAATAAAAGTATCTTAACTTCAAAAGAAAAAATTCAATCAATAAGAAGTGAAAATTGGTAAAGACAGTATTTCGGCTTTGCTTTAATGTATAAAAAAACAACTTGCCGATACATATTTAGAACACTTTGTTAACTGTATGATGTATGATACATATTTATTGTACAGCTATAAACATTAATTAAGACCCTTTTAGTAAGCATGTGCTGGTTGGAGAAAGACAGTTTCTCCTACTAACTGTCATAGAGAAATATTTTAAACTCTACAGATATCAACATATAAATATAACAGACATAAAAGTATTGTAATTGTGCAATAAAAAGTATACATTTATAAATATTTTGTAAATAATATCGAAGGGGTAAGAGAAAAACAAAATGTTAGTTTTATTTGGTGCCACATGAGTTCACAAGAGCTGCCAAGTAACTATGGTAAAGCTATAATAAGATTGCTAAGAATTTTCTTATAAATAACTTGCCTTTTCAGCAGCTAACACTTGTTTTTCACTGGTTGTAAAATCTTTTAGCTCATTTAGTTCTCTTTCTAAATACTCTCGCATTGCTTGAGATTCTTGAATCCGTTGCCTCAGTACAGCGGGAGGAGTTTCAGGCTGGGGTTGGGCTGCCTCACTAAATTAACAAAGTTAGAATAAAAAATCTCAATAATTTAGTTGAAATAAAAACATAAGATTAACAATTTTAAAGTAACTATTATATTGTTACCTTATACCAGAATCAGCACTTTTGAAAGCACCGTGGGGATTATTCATGTTTTTCTGCCTTTGCCTTACATTAAAGTTAATACCTGAGAAAAAAATAAATCAGTTCAAGTAATACAATGCCAAATTACATACAAATGATAATTGTACTTCATGAATTTAGTGATTAACATTAAATACAAACCTACAAAGATTCAATACATTTGTCAAGGCTTCACACCACGATATAGACTATTTCGTCCTATTTCAACAGTATGCGTGTCTTTTATACTGAGTTAGTTTTGTTTAAAGTCTGTTACATGCACTATAAGCCTCTTTTCCACCTCTCAACAGCAAAAGATTTTGGTAAACTATGTGCTGAAAGATACCGAATTTTATAAATGAATAACGAATCCCGATTCGAGATATATAATTGGCCTACAATAAAAATGTCAGTACTCAGAATACGCAAAATTTGATGCTCTAAAATTTTGATTCTATGGGTTTTACCTCTTAGGGAACTCATTTGCAAGTTACAGGGCTATTTATAGTAATTTGTCTCAGTTTTTGACAAATTTGGTAAAACTCAGCGTTGGTTGACTGTGGTTTTATACCTTAGCGCGTTACCAAATTTTAAAGTTTATGTACTCGTTTAGCGCAAAATTTAACATTTTTTAATTTATTAAAAAATACTTTTTTGCTTTGATGCATCGTTTAGGAGTAATAGATAAAAAAAACCCAAAAAATATCGAAAAAATCTGACTTTTTTGGCTGTAAAAAGTTTTCACTTGGTGGCCTGCGTTAGCAATTTTGTTTTTTACATGTCTAAACCCATTTATACAAGTTAAAAAAGTAAAGTCTTTTCTCAATAGATTTCTCGTTTATATCCTCAAATTATTGGCCTAATATTCTTTAAATCAGCCGCCATTTTTTAAAGCAGCGGCTCTGGATCGGCAGACACGGTTTTTTTTTACTCAGAATAACATACACTTTCATAATTTACAATCAAACCTTCGTCTGCGATCAGGTCGATTTTTGGGCCCTGGCTCCAGGGCTATAAGTGCAGCATCTCCATAACTTGAACTTGGCTCTTGTGCTTTGTGGTGAGAGTCCAAGATTTACTTGAGTAGGTGAGAATCGGTAAGAAAGTATCTTTATGTTCTTTGACACTTCTTTTTTCCTTTTAAAACCGTTCTTAAAAGAATTGAAACATCTACTGGCAAATTTTGAAACCTTGTATGATTCAGTCTTACCACGCGATCCCCATGTTCACCTTTCCTTCCTATTCTCATCTTTGTTTTTCTGCATTGAAATAGTCATATTGATACTTTTTAATTCTTTCTGTAGAACTTTTATGTTGAATTGGAGATTCCTGCAGTTGTTTGTGAATAAAATTAAGTCATCCGTGAAGGTGTGTGGGACTAAGATTTTGGTATCCTAATTCATCCTTGGTTTAGCTCTGTTCATGTTATGATGATCACGTGTCCAAAGTTATAATGAAAAGCAGTGGGCTCATGCAGCCTGATACCTTGAGTAGTCTGAAATTCTCTTGATGTGAGGTTACTTGACCTCACCACATTACAGTGCTTCTTGTAGACTTAGTATTCCTTTCTGTAATCTTAAATTGACATTTTTCTCCTTTAGTGATGTTACAATGTCTTCCTGATCCTGTCGAAGGCCTTCAGGAGATTGACAAACCAGGTAAAGACTTGCTTATCTTTTTGTATGATTTTCCAGATATTTGTCTTAATGAGAAGATAAGTTAAAATATAAAATATACATTGTAAGAAATCAATCTTTACAATAATCTTTTTTTTTTTGTTTTTTTCCATTAATAGTATCTATGAACGATGTATTCAGAATAAGTTTCAATCCAAAACAAGTAAAAATTACACCAGTATTGTTTCTGAAATAACTAGTTCAATTATAAGCATCATTTTAATTCCTATGTTCTACATTGTTTATATTTCTATGTTCTACAACACAATGTTTAAATGCAAAAAGACTTACTTTTTGATAAATAATCCGAACAGTCTTCTAAAATGTTATTTTCTGATATTGGCTCAAGTTCCTGAAGGACTACACGCTTTTTATGAGGGATGAAACTCTGCAATAAATAGATTTAATTCTGAGATTAATCATTATAATTTAAATGTATTATAAAAAATCAGTTCTGATATAATAATTACAATAGTACGACTGAGAAATTGTAAAATATAACCATGTCTTATGAAAAAAGTGTCACTAAAAGTACTATTGTTCATATAATTACATTTAATAGGACTTTAAGAATCATTTAAATACCATTTCTCATAGGTAGTTAGTTTCTTTCAAAGTAATTATCATTATATATATATATATATATATATATATATATATATATATATATATAGAAAAGCTATTGGGCTGAAGCCTTCCCCAAAATTAAATCCTTGATCCACTAGTGGGCTAAGTTTAATATATTTAAAAGAAAATAAATTATGAAAGCAGTGTAATAATATTCCACCCTTTTTGAAGCAAAGAAAGAGGTTTCTTAAATAAATTTGAAACTTTATAATTGGCCAAGGAAAATAATAAACTGGTTTACATTTAGCACTTCCCCACTGTGTTGACCAATTGGTACAGGAATTAATAACTTCAAGGCAAAAACAAGAATAATATAATGTAAACCAATAGTCAAATGAAGAATTCTGAAGAAATTAATACTTTACAATGCAAAATCATACATTTGAAATAACAATAAGTTGAAATAGGGAAAAATAATCTTAGAATACATAAAAAATAGGGTAAATAATAATTCAAATTTTAAGTTTACTATAATCTAAAGTTTACCTTTCTGAGAGGAACTTTAGATGTTTCAGATTTGTCTGTTGCATTGCTGGACGACTCAGCATTTTCATTTGATTCGTTATCGTCATCATCCCATTCCATTTTTTAACAGTCAACGTCAAAATGAAACGACTGAAACTCGATAATACAGCGAATTCAGGAACACAAGAAAAATCCTGTCAGACAAATCCTTAACGTACATATCACCTTAACCGCCAAATTCAAAATCAAATCAACAGTGAGGACGCTGCCATAGAGATCGCAATAAAATCTGAAGCTATCAAACCTGCTAAACAAGTTGTTTAATAAGTATATCATTTCATACCGTTTACAACTTCTTATCATGTTTCTAGGATCATTTCTTTAAATATATTTCCAATGATTATTTATTTATCCAAAACAAATCAATTTATCTTTAATTTAATCAAAGAAAAATTATTCCTTTTTCTTCATTAAGTAAAGAAATAAACGTTTTCTAACTAGACTAGTTATAAATTCATTTTTTTTTTCTTAGTAACTGGATGAAAGTAAGTTACTTACCAGTATTGGTAATGGCGGGGAGGAACATATGCCCGAAGTGGGCCCAAAATTTTTTGTTACTATCTCAAGTATTCATGCGAATTTCAAATATTTTAATCCTGAGTATAGAACATAGGCAATAAAGTATATATTATACATATACTTTTAGTCTGTTTTCTCACTTTTTGCGATTCCGTCCCAATGAAAAACCGCAACTCGTATCCACATTTAAACCTCATATTTCAATTCGTCTTCACCTGTCGATCAGCTAACTGTGTATTATGTAACAAGGATTACTTTTCTTTATACGTATTTCTGCTTCCTCACTACCGAAGGCAGGGAAGCATTGTATTCGTGCTAGAGGTTTAAAAAAAAAAATTGTGCTCAGAATCGAAAATTTCCACTCGCGTTTTATGTTTCACACATTAAGGATCAAATTTGGTTCGGTGTCTGTTTGTCTGTCTGTAGTCTAATCGATGTAACGGGCATATCACCTACTACGGTTTATCCGATTTTCATAATTTTTTTAGGAATTGTGCTAGTTAGTGTCTAGATGGTCCCATATCAATTTTTATTATATTCTAACCAGCACTTCCGTTTATGCACGTGCAAACACATATGCCAATATTTCAGAAACGATGATTAAAAGGTAGGTATTTGTGAAAAAATAATGTATGATCAATTTTATTAAATTCTGTCCATTGCTTTTTCTTATGTATGCGAAAACGTGTTTTCCTTGATATATCTATATTTCTAAAACCGCAAGTTCGATTTGGCCCAAATTTGCACGGAATTTAGAGATTGGTAAACGTAAAACAAAACAGACATCAATATCATCAAATTCTATCAAATACTCCAGAAAAAAAATACTTCCGCTTTCAAATCAGGAAATGTGTTATTTAATATGCCTATAGTTTGAAAACGGCGCATTCGATTTGACCTAAACTTGGAGGAAAGTTGGAGAACAGTATAGAAATTACTTAGTATCAATTTCATTGAATACTATTTAATAATTAAAATTAATATAAATAATTGTTAACGATATGATGGTTCAGAAAGGTGGGAGGCACTGATCATATCGAGTCGAAAAGGAAGCCTCGATTAAAAATAATGCGGGTGCCTTCCGAATGGACAGCTGAGAGGCTAGAACAGGTGATATGGGAACAACTGGAGAAGAAGAGCTTTGAGAAACAGGCGGAAGGTGCCCATGACTGGAAGAGACCCTGCTTTTCCAACTTGGAGAGGAGCGAACTCGAAAGGACTTGGGTACTGGAGGTCCACCCGAAAACAAGAATGGCAGTTTTACTGTTAGACAGCATTAGTGGGGATGGTGGAACATCCAAGTGAGGGCTACATCGACCCGCCTCCCTGAAATGTCAAGGGTGCGGTCATACCAAAGCCCAGTGTAAGGAGCAGTTGACCTACAGATGGTGTAGCGAGGAGGGACGAACCCGGTGACCCCACGTTTGTGGGAGCTAAGGGACAGAGCTGGATAGACATAACGCTGGCCAGTTTCAATGATGAAATGGGTGACTAACTGGAGTCTCAGGTTTGATACGAGCTAGGACCATGGGACAATCATGTTCGATGTAGTGAAAAGAAAAGACGGAAAACGAGCGAAGGGGAGCGTGGATACGTCATAAGGTCGATGGACTGGGCGCGGCACTGAGGAGGACAGGGAGTAGGAGGAACCACCAGAAGATGACGAAGCGCGAGGTATTGCGCACAGAATACACTCACAGGCGCGATGAGAGAGGCGGCAGAGGCTTCTCTTCGGAGGAGGAAGATGAGGGAAAGACCAGTGCCGTGGTGGACGCCGACCTTGACCTTGAGGGCGAATATCACCGGGCTAGACGGAGGTGCCATGGCTGCAGCAACGAGGAGGGGAGAAAGGTGCTCTGATCGGAAAGTAGCCGCACACTCAAAGAATATCGCAAAGGTGCGCCAGCGAAAGAAGCCATCCTGGGACGAATTCGTAGAAAAAACCCCATGAAAAACCCTTGGGGGATACCATACAGGATCGCACTTGACAAGGTGAAGCCTGGCCAATGCATGACTGCAATGAGAGTGGGCGATAGAAAGGCTGAAACCTTGAAAGAGGCAGTGGCCATATACGTGGACCATAAGTACCCCTAGGACGATCCGGCCCTGGACATGGAGGAGGATCGGATGACCAAACGGACAACGGAGTATCCTCACGGAACAGATTTGTGCGAGCCGTGAGACATCTGTGATCTCCGCCTGGCTATTGAGAAGCAGGAGATAGGAAGGCCTCCGGGACTTGAAGAGATCGATGCAGCGATTTTGAGGAACAGTGCGCCGCAAATAGAGGACGATCTCCTGGCCATACGCTACCTATGTCTGGACAGAGGGCACTTAAATTTTAGGTGATTTTGGAAGTTCTAAGGTAATTCTGTGCATTTGCTCCACTAAAATGTTTTCGATTCCTTCCAATTTAAAAGAAAAATGTTTCGAAATCCTTTATTGAGATGTCTATATCAATAATGAACAAACGATAACTGCCACCTTTGATTTGAGACTCTTTGAAGTTAATATTTGTGGAAGTTTCTCAATACCTGTGGCACGGAGGTAAACACGATTATAACTGTTCTGTCTAAATTAACAATAAACGTTAATATAGTTCTGTGTCATGCGTTATATATTAAAGAAGATAAAAGAGGAAAGATAAAAATGGGTAGGATATGCAGTCAAAATATTTTCAATTATAAGAATGAAGAACAATATGGAAAATTAAGAAAAATTCATGGACGAGAATTAACTAGACTATTCATTATGTGGCAAAATAATCGTTTAAAAAATAAACTAAGATATAATAATTTCATACTGAATTTTATATTGAACGGGCGCAAGTTGATCCACAGCCTGGTGAGGGGATATGAAAAACTGTAAGATTAATAAAAATAGTTATGATAATATTTTTATTTAAAATCACATTTTGTATATCAATTTTTTAATATCACAATTCATTAAAGATAATTCTCCCTATATTTATCTTATCTGTAAATAGCTGCTTTTTGAACTTTTCGGAATTGTTTGTCAACCATCGAGGGAAGGGCGACCCTTACAGTATTCGGTAGTGCTGGTCACAACAATAATTTTTTTTTATATTAGATTAAAAAGTTCGTCTATGAGAATGAATTTTCTTTACTTTAAACAGGAGTTTTTTTGGATTTTTTTTTCATCATCCAAGAGAGAGATGGCCGTACCCTCCAGCTGGATCTGCTAGTACTGGTCAAACCGTAAGATTACTAAAAATGGTCATGATAACAATATTTTTAAATCACATTTGAAAATTCGTCTTAGAGGATGAAAATTTCCTATATTTCTCTTTTAATTAAATAGCTGGTTGGAACTTTTTCTGGATTATTTTTCCACCATCCAGGGGGAAGAGGCGTGCCCTCAGCAGAAATCACTAGTGGTGGTCGCGATAATATTTTATTTTTTAGTATTACATTATATTTCTCTTTTCTTTAAATAATTGCTTTCAGAGGCTTTTTTTTTATTTTTCTCACCTTTCAGAGAGGAGGGGCACCCCCTTCCCCCCAGCTGGATCTGCTAGTAACCCATACTGAGCCAGCAATCCGATGGCCATGTACAATTCAATAATGAAGGGAACATAGAATCGAATAAGAGATGAAATCTTCAACGAAACTTACTTTCGAGAATCAAGTCACTCTGTAAATATTTTTGACCAGTTTGCCCAACCCGTGCAGGAAATGGATCTTCTCCCCAACATAATTTTTTTATTAAATCTGCAAGTGCAAATGACAAGCATTAATTAATGACAGTTGCGAAAATTGCGTAGACCGATATTATTCGTAAAAGATATATCCTGCCTTCCAGGAAACTAAAATTAGACATGTTACTTTGCAAAAGGTTGGATAATTCAAATTTCTTTTTTATATTGTTAGGTGTATGCTTAATATAAAAAATCTAAGTTTCCGCTCTTGAAAATCTTGTGAGTTCGCTGCAATCTTTAAAAACCATTGAAATTTCGAACTTTTTTTGACTTACACTAAATATCTCCTTCTTAGAGCAACATACATAAAAAATGGTTGCATTCAATTTTAACCAACTTAAAATTACCTAACATTTTTTTCTAATCAAACAAGAAGCGAACTATCGAGCTTTCAAAATTTACCCATTTCGGTTTCTTCACATTACTGCTGTTTCAGTTTTGAACGGAAGAAATCTGTAACTCTATTTTAAACCTAGTCCAGAGAATCTGGAGGTTTTCCATTGACAAGAACGGTAGACGATAGTCAAGAGGTGTTTTGAAAAGTATGTTACACCATTGTCCAGACAATAAATTGCATATAGTTGTGGTGTCCCTTATATCTAGTTACATATAAAAAGGCAATGTCTCCCTCCTCCCAAAAAAAGTGGCCGCAGTATGCCAAAATGGTATCTAAACATTGCGGATTTACGTCTTTGATCTGAGTTAGTTTTTCGGACCCTAAGATTCAGCATTTTGCTCAATTTCGTCATAATTGGCCTTTTATTAAAGCTGAATAGTTATATAATAATAAAAAATATTAAAAAATAATTGGCCTTGGCAATATAAAACACCAGTAAATTTATTTGTTTCAAGTCGTTCGAACTTAAGTTGAAAATCAAGAGTCATTTGTAAATAAACGGCCAATAATGACGAAAAACAACCCGAAATAAAACATCTGGAAAATACATTTATCTTTCTATAACTCTGATTACTTTTTAAAATATTTGAAGCAGTTACTTAGAAAATACACTTAATCGGCGGAAAAAAGTGGCACTGCAATAGGCGTCCAGAGTCCTCTGCCACAACATTCAGTAGTCATAAATGGCATAATAACGTTATAATAATGTAATAACGCTTTTAGTACATTATTTTAATTGTATTAACGAATGAATATTAAAACAATAATTTAATTGTACAAAACAATTTGTTCTTTCTTTTTACTTCCTATAATCTTGTATAGCACACTACCTATTCCATTTATGAGTACTGATTGATGTGGCATAAATTGGCATTAATAGTAACAAGAAAAACAGTGATTTTGGTGACCAATTTCATTAAAATAAATGAAAAAATAAATTAAATTATAAGGATTTTTTGGAACCTCAAAACATCAATTTCTTTTCAGCGATTTGTATTTAAACTGTTAAGTATAGAAAAATAACATCGACAGAAAAACTGTAGTAAATTGTTTTTTGCAAATTTACAAAATTTTGCCTATTTTGATAGCTCCATAACCTAGCTTCTTTTTGAGTTTATAAACAAATGTTATGTACCAAAATGTTAGATAATTTTAAGTTGTTTAAGATCTTATAAAAATGTAACCATTTTTTTTAGCGTAAACCAAAAACAGTTCAAAATTTCAAGGGTTTTTGAGCAATGCAGCGCATCCACAAGGTGTTATATTTTTTATATTCATTACATACCTAACAATATAAAAAAAAAATTTGAATTGCCCGACCATTGCAAGGTAGACCCATTTTTGTATTAATTTGTTTGGGCTATTCGGACTTATATCCTGCCATTTTCTTTCAGTAATTCTCTTTTAGCTTCACTTTATCGCCATTGTCACCACTTTGTTATTTTCCAAACACATGTTTTTAAATAAAACCACCTTCCAAAGAGCTACGAAGTAAGTGATTCAATGAACAATGTGAGCCTCAAATACTTAAAATTCCGATTGGATAAATCCCAAGAGAAAAAAATTACAAGATATTTTCTCATACCTCAAAATTCTTGATTTTTTTTATTGCATATCATTAAAAATTGTATTTCCCAATCATCTGTATAATTTAGAAATAAATTCAAAATATGATATAAATGACATTTATTATATTCTAACAACACTACATAAAACTACACACCAAAAACTACTAATATACACACACTACAAAATGTTTTCAAAAGGAATAATTAGGCTTACAAAAAAACAAATTAAATTACAAAAGTGTAATATTGCTGACATTTGCGGAGGACAAAATATAAGAGTGAGTCTTGTTTTATTTAATATAGTTTACATGAAAATGAAAAATAATATTTCTATATATTTTGTTTTTTTCATTTATAGAAAGGTTTGGTTGTTGGTGTGTATGAAGACTGTGGAAGTAATGCACTAAAACTGTCACCAGCGGGAAATAAGTTTGATGTTGAAAGTGGAGGAAGAATTTCAGAAATTATTAAAGGGTAAGAAATAAGAAAGAACATAGGTAGTTAGATTCAACAATTCAGTTTTAGTGGTACAATTTTCTGTTAAAATGTATTGATAGACTTCCACTATTTGTGTCTAAAATGGCCTACTAATGGGAAAAATGTATTAAAAATTCCATACAATTAATTAATTACTATGCATGGAATTGAACAAAAAATTACACCATTATACTGTTCACTGCTAAGAGACTGAACGAACATTTCTTCTAATCATGAAAAAGTTGAAGAGGTATCAGTTTTTCTTCAATTCGGTATTCTTATATTTTCTTCGAATTTTTCATGGATTTTCACTCTTATCAACTTCCTACCTAATGGTAATATAAATACTTTCTCAACATAATATCAGAATTCAGTATGCGCCCTTACCGTCTTATTGCATTCTGGCTAAAAAATAGGGTGTTCATCAGGCAAATTTTTCTAACAAAATAGAAACAAGAAAGGAGAAAACTTAAAAAAAAAAATAAATAAATATGCGTAGACGTATTCGATTTTGTTGTGTTATCAATCAAACCAAAACAGATATTGTCATCCAAAGAAGAATCTTAGAGAAAAAGTATAGTGATTGGAATATAAGTTATACATAAGAAGTTATACAAAATATCTGATGCACACAACACACAACTTTCACTTGCCGCTCTACTTTGAATAGGAATTATTTTTTGGCAATGTTGGGCTATTATAAAATTTTTGAAGTGCATTTATAACGGAGCTACAACTTAAAGCTTACAGCTAACAAATCATTAAGACCATTAAAATAACGAAACCCTATTAATTATATCAACAGTAGGCAGTAAAAACCTCATTACTCTATCTCTTTTTGTAAACCACACAATTTCAGTCTCCGAGCTATGTATGTATATATTATATATATATATATATATATATATATATATATATATCCTCGCGCGGGCTCATTACCGCGTATGGGGAGCGTCCCACGGGTGGCGGATGTGGGGATGGTCGGTGGAAATTTCTTGGAAGTTCCTCCCGGCTAAGTCCGATGGACTCGCTGACCAACAATGAGAGGGGCCCTCCAGACTTGCTGGAGGGAGGGGACCTCCAGACTTGCTGGAGGTAGGGGCCCACCAGACTTGCTGGAGGGTGTGACGTAGGATTGAACGCCCTACTCACATATCTTTAGTTCACCAAACACCACAAAAAGTCATGGATCTCCTTAAGGTAAAACGCTCATTATCCGGAGGTAAACTAGTCCCCCGTTCGGGTCTCCGGGTGGGGACTGCTTTAGGGGATTCATGGCGCAAGTTGAAATATAGGGATTTAAATATTGGTACGTGGAACGTAAGGAGTTTAAACACAGCAGGGGGGCTAAAATCGGTCGCGAATGAGGTAAATAGGTACCATTTGGATGTCGTGGCTCTGCAAGAGGTTCGCTGGCCAGGGGAGGGCTCGATGAGGGAAGGGAAGTACACTATTTGGTACAGAGGAAGCGAGAATCATTGCTATGGTACCGGGTTTCTAATTAGGCGTAGATTACTATCCGCTTTGAGGGACGTACAATTCTTTAGTGATAGAATTTCGGTAGCTACATTTCAGGGACGTTGGTTTAAAATCGCATTAATAAACATACATTGTCCGACCGAAGACAGTGACGATGAATTCAAAAGTGAATTTTACGATAAACTCGAATGGGTTTATGATAAACTACCACGAAACTACATGAAAATAATTGTAGGTGACGCGAACGCAAAGGTAGGAAGGGAAGAAGTTTATATTCCGACGATTGGTAAAGAATGTTTGCACGAATATAGTAATGATAATGGGATCCGTCTGATAAACTTTGCCATCTCGAAAAACCTGATAATTAAAAGTACGACGTTTAAACATAAGGATATTCATAAATATACTTGGACATCACCGGATCCGCAAACACGAAATCAAATCGATCATGTCTTGATACAACACAGCTGGCAAAGCAGTATAATCAATGTACGGTCTTATCGCGGAGCAGAATGTGGGTCGGATCATGAATTAGTAATCGCGAAACTTCGACAAAAACTTAATATAAAAAAGCGAAAAGAAAACCGTTTCGATTTTGAGAATTTTAATTTGGAAAAATTAAAAAATTCATCAATTAGAAACCAATTCGAGCTAGATGTTAAGAATAGGTTTGAAGCTTTAGAGCTTCCTGACGAGGACCACGAAGATATTGACAAGTTATGGATAGAGATCAGAGATAATATTAAAGCGGTCGGTAACTCGTGTCTAGGAAAAAAGGAAAACAAGAATAACAAACCTTGTGAAAAAAGAAAAGCCGCTAAATTAAAAGCTATAAATAATCCTAGCGAAGACAATCTGGAATACTTCCGAATCTCAAAGAACGAAACGACAAAATTGCTCAAAAATAAAAAAAGGGAGTATCGAGTTAAAAATAAAATAATTGAAATAGAAACTAATAGAATCGAAAATAACGTAAGAGACATGTACAAAGGTATAAACAGATCACGTAAATATGTAGGGCCGGTAACGTCTGGAATTAGGGATGATAATAACAATATTCTGACCGATCCGGTTGACATATTGAATAAGTTTAAGGACCACTTTGACAATATTTTAAATGCGGGAAATTGTGATCTGTGTCCTCCTTCTGAGTACCCGAGTGCTGAACCATTAATAGAAGGACCAAGTAAAGAGGAAGTTGAAGTAGCTATCGGAAAATTAAAATCATATAAAGCAGCGGGAATCGATAATATTCCCACTGAACTAATTAAGGCATGCGGGGAAGCTGGAGTTTCTAAAATACATCGGTTGGTTAAAAAGATCTGGGTGAACGAGAAATTACCTGAAGAATGGAAAGAATCTATTCTTATTCCGATTCACAAAAAGAGTCCGAGGACGGATTGTAATAACTATCGAGGAATTTCACTCCTTCCGGTATGTTATAAAATATTCACTTTAATCTTAACCAGTCGAATCACGGAATACGCCAAGGAAATTATCGGAGACTACCAATGCGGATTTAGACGGAATCGTTCGACTATTGATCAAATATTTTCTTTACGGCAAATATTAGAGAAAAAATTGGAGTATAACGGTATTGTTCACCAGCTGTATATAGATTTTAAAAAGGCTTACGATTCTATTGACCGCCAGAAACTGTATAATATTCTAATCGAGCAGGGGATTCCAAAAAAACTAGTAAATCTAGTCAGGATGTGCTTGACGGAGACACTCAATAAAGTTAGAATCGGTAATAATTTGTCCGAAAAATTTGAGGTTCGTTCGGGCTTAAAACAGGGGGATTCTCTTTCGCCTGTCCTGTTCAATTTGGCATTAGAACATGCAATTAGGGAGGTAATGCGAACCGAGAAAGGGTTGGATCTGGGCGAGACAACATCCGTGCTGGGCTATGCTGATGATCTGGTACTGTTAAGCGAAGACGTTGAAACTATAAAACTAAATACGACAACGTTAATGAAAGCCGGTAAAGAAATAGGACTCGAAATAAACGTGGATAAAACAAAATATATGGTTAGCTGCAAAAATGGCGATACTACTGGTGATATCGATATAGATGGTAATATGTTTGAACAGGTAGATAAATTTAGGTATCTAGGTTCTACGATAACTAGAAAAAACGAAATTGGAGAAGAGATTAAGGTTAGACTGAAGGCGGGGAATGCTTGTTATTTTTCTGTGACAAAACTACTTAGTTCGCGCCTCTTGTCCCGAAACTTAAAAATTAGAATCTATAAAACAATTATCTTGCCTACAGTTCTTTATGGATGCGAAACTTGGCCGCTTACATTAAGGGATGAGCAGCGTCTTAAGGTTTTTGAAAATAAAGTATTGCGTAGAATATTCGGACCGAAGAAGGATGAGTTAACCGGAGAGTTCAGACGGTTACACAACGCCGAATTGCGTGAGATGTATCCGGGTAATATAATTGAGGTAATTTCATCGCGGCGAATCAAATGGGCTTGTAAAGTTGTTGGGCTTAGTAACGAGAGAATTCCTAAAAGGTTAATATTTGCTGTGCCGAATGGTAAGCGTCCGAGGGGTAGACCGAAGCGAAGGTGGGAAGATTGCATTAAAGCCGATCTGAAGGGACTGGGTTTGGACGGCGAACGGTGGAAGGAGGTGTGTAACAAACGATTGGTGGTGTCGGCATCGAACCTTCGGGTTCGCTAAGCCTTATTATTATTATTATATATATATATATATATATATATATATATATATATATATATATGCCTAGACAGATTTGAATATTTCTATGTATTCAACCTATAAATGATTATGGATTGTACGCCTATTAGAAATAGAAATAGAAATAGAAAAATAACTTTATTCTGGGACACAGTCCCTTGAGAAGAACAAAATTAATATATTACATCTGGCCAAAATAAAATCAATCGAAAAAAAGAAATAATGTAAAAAAAAATATAAGGTAAAAATTCTATATACAAAACAAACTAAACTATATACAAAACCATTAATATTATGACAAGACACTTAAAGCTGTTTGCTCTTATAGACCAGTATACACTTTTACGAAAAAAATAAAGAATTAAAAAATAAAAATGTATCAAATTCTCTATCAAAATCAGCTCGAATGGTTAGCAACTATCTGACTGTTTTTGGGATAGGAATTGGAATAGGAGGGTTTTGAATGTGGATATGGATGGATATGGGTTTTGATAGGGAGGGAATTCCAGAAATTGACAGAGCGAACAATAAAGGAATTTTGGAATGAGGCAGATCTGTGAGAAGGCATGTAAAGGTTAGAAGGTCGAGATCTTGTGGACAGGGAATGGACTGAGGATTTGAACTGGAGAAGGTTGTAGGAGTAAGAAGGACGATGGTTGTTGATGATTTGGTAGAGGAACGTACCTAGGAAATATTGTCTTCGGAAGGAGGGGAAAAGCCACTTTAACTCAGCGTAGTGGTGAGAAACATGGGAGTATCTTGGGGCCCCGATCACAAATCTTACGCAGCTGTTCATTAGTCTTTTCAGTCTATCACGGAGCTCCACAGAGAGGCCATCATACACCACACAGCTATAGTCAAAGTGAGGGAAAATGAGAGAGGAAACTAGGAGTCTACGCGTATGTTGAGGTAGGAGATGGCGGAAGCGATGGAATAGTTTGAGGGTGGAAATTGTCCTTCGAGTAATGTGAGAAATATGGTGATTCCAAAAGAGGTTTTGATCAATGAAAAATCCTAAATTTTTAACAGAGGAGTAGAAGGAGATTGGCTGATCATTAAGGTGAAGGACGGGAAAGTCTGTATAGGATCTAAGGAGGGGCTTGGAACCAATGACTATGGCCTGAGTTTTGGCAGCATTTAACCGTAATCCATTTACATTTGCCCAGGCACTGATTCGATCTAGGTCTTCTTGGATCTTGGCAAATGCCCCCAGTAACTCAGGAGGGAAAAATGATAGGCACATCTGTGAATCGTCTGCATAAAGGTGATGGGAACAATGGATAATTGATTTAGGTAGGTCGTTAATGTAGGAGCTGAAAAGGAGAGGAGATATGCTTGAACCCTGGGCAACTCCAGAGGATAAAGAAAGGAAAGCAGATAGTGGTTGGTTGGGTATGGAGACTGCTTGGGTACGTTGTGAAAGGAAAGATTGAAACCAAGAGATGGAACTATTAGAGAAGGATAATAATTTCAGTTTGTTGAAAAGGATGGAATGGTTGATGGAATCAAAGGCTTTGGAGAAGTCGAGAAGGATAAGGATTGTTAACATTTTATCATCTATTGCAGTTTGAATGTCGCTGGTGATTTTAATTAAGGCGGATTGTGTGGAGTAGCTGGGACGGAAACCAGATTGGAGAGGATCAAGTTGGTTGGACTTTTCGAGGAAGTTGGAGACTTGGGATTGCACCAATCTTTCTAGGGGTTTTGAGAGGGTTGGAAAGAATTGAGATTGGGCGGAAATCTTCGGGTGAGGTCGGATTAGAATTTTTATTCAAAGGAAGGACAATGACTTTTTTCCAAGATGTAGGGAATACTGAATTCTGAAGGGAGAAATTGTAGATAAAAAGAAGAACTGGGAGGATTTCAGGAAAACATAATTTTATTAATTTGAGAGGGATGCCATCGGGTCCTATGGAATTGGTGTGGGATTTCATTACAGCGGTTAAAAGGTCTGTGGGAGAAATGTCGGAAAAATAAAAGTTATTGTCGTCAAATGGTATCTCAATAGGAAAGCCGGAACAGGAGGATAAAGGAGAGGTATTAGCAACAGATATAAAATGCGAGTTTAGATCATCAGGGGATATTGGAAAGGCTGTTGTAGGGGATCTGGAAGGATCACAAAGGGAGAGTTTACGAAGCAGTCGCCATTTTGATTTTATGTCAGGAGTTGAGGAAAGGGCTTCGTGGAAGTAGAGGGATTTCGCACGCCGGATCCTTGTTTTTGTCAAGTTGCGAAGCACCCTGAACGCTTGGTAGTCATCTGCAAGCCTAGTACAGTACGTCTGAAGCGTCTACGAGCAGCGTCGCGTTTCTTCTGCAGTTCTTTAATTTCCTGACACATCCAAGGAGCAGGCCGGTGACGAAATGTAGAGGTTTTGAGAGGGCTATGGGTATTGAGGATATTTAGGAGATTGGTAGTAAGAATATCAACCATTACTTATTAAACAGTTATTTTCCATTGTAAACTTTACTAAAATGAAATTACGAGATTTCCATTGCTTGCCACAGATAGATCAAAATTTGTCACACTAATTGTAGGTGTATAATGTTGGGAATTCACAGAAGGAAAATTATTCACTAATTTAATTTCCTAAAAGGTTAAATCAGGGTTTTTCGGAATAAACGGACGTTGATACCTAACTATTTAAACATATCAGATTTAGAATTATCAAAGTGCAGTAAATATATTTAAGGTTATAAACATACGCTCCTTTATACATCCATGAAATATTTTTTAATTTCACTTCTTCTTTCACACAAGTAGAATGAAATAGTTTTTTTTAATAATTCATTGTCTTGATTAGGTGGATTTTAAATACTTTTTCAAACTTACTTACTTCGTTTATTTAGTTAGTAAGTTTCCTTGGAAACATGTGGTTTCCGTTGAAAAATATTAGTTTCCACAAATTATAATTTATAATTTTTCATCACTCCCCATTCATTACCTTCTACGACTTTCTATATTAGATATTGATTTTTTAAAATTCTTCGTTTTTCAACGATATATTATACCCATACCTTCTGACTATTATTCCCGGAGATTCATTTTCGACCTAAATGAACAGTTCCCTTTTTTTCAATTGTAAAATTGTTTCAAAAGTTATATTTAGCAGTTCTTCGTAACTTCGTACAATGAGTGATAGTTAATTATTTGAAATAGACCAAATTAAAGGTACTTTATTGAAAGACATGTTGATCATTAGGTATTTAAGCTCTGTAAATCCACATCAATGCGGATAAGATCTAAATGATATTAAAACCCACTTAATTATACAATGATGCACGGAATTTAATCAAAATCTTTATAGCCGTTTTCGCGAAAATTGTAAACATGTGTAAAATCGATAATATAAAGTGCAACTTCCGGTTATCCGATTTGGACTAAACATTTGCTGTAACACCCCCGGATTATACAGACCTTGCATATGCAATTTCACATTCGCAGGACTTTTCGTTTTTGAACTAGACTGATGATAACATACATCCAGACACATAGATAATTTGGCGGGACATGGTTATTTGGACTCAGGGGATCTCAAAACATGTATTTCCGTTGAAAACTCAGGTTTACAAATTTTCACGATAAATCTTCCCCTTACTGTATATTACATATATGGCTATGTGAAAGTAAAAAGTTATGGGGAACCTCATAGGTTGGTGATAAAATCAGATGAATAAAAGACATGGTATCAAAATATTTGGGGTATTCATTTAACTGGTCGGTTGTGAATTGAGATCCGTTTTTAATTTTTTTTTTTTTGCAAGTTATAAAAATCAAGATTTTAACAAAACGTGTGTCTTTTAAAAAAAATATTTTAATTGATTTCATTATTTTTATGATATGATTTTTCTTGCGTTTGCGGATCCAGAACTGAAGGTGGGTCCAACCACCCGCATATTACAATATTATTATAACTGTTTACTTTATTTTACAGAACAGATATGAGTTTAGGAAAAGTGAAAGTAATCAATAATCTTGGAACAGATTTCTACGCTGTGGCTGTAGCAGGAACTGGTGCAGATTCAGCTTGTTATAATGAAAATGAAACGTTGGACGAATGTAAAGAAAACATAAGGATCAGTTCTGCTGTTGGAGCACAAGCACTCCAAGAAATGGTAAATATGAGTTGTGTTCATATTTAAGAAAGTTTATGTTAACCTTCTTATCGTTTAATAATAAAACTTTAAAGTTTATTTTACTATAGAAACGTTATAGTTCATTAGCTAATGCAATAGTTCACCCATTCACACATCTTTATCTATACCGTAAGATGGGGTAACATTGGGACTGGGTAGGTAACTTTGGGACAGTGGGTAAAATTTAGTTTGTGGTGGATATATTGTGTTGGTTCAGTTGGCATGGACAGCGCATGTAATGCGCTAATACCTTGCATCACACCTTTCTTGAGGCACAAGAGAAAGTTTCATGAAAACAAAAGTAATTTATAAAAAAGCAATGGAAATAAATAATACCTAACTGCAAAACGAGTGTAGTGAGCTATGGTTCTCAAACTGCCCAAGGTAGAAGCGTAGTATATGCCTACATGAAGCACGTTTTTGCAGACTGAACAAACACAGTGGATCCACCACGGAATCACCACAAAATAAATTTTACCCGCTGTTCCAAAGTTAACCACCCAGTTCCAAAATTACCCCATCTTACGGTACGTATATAAACTGAACAGTTTACTTGTTTAAACGTGTTACACGCTCAAGATTAAGTAACACAACTCTCAACTCTCAAGATTAAGTAACATTATAATGTTTGACATTTTTTTACATGGTTTTTAAAATCTCAGGGTTGTGCCGAAATACTGGTCGATGGATATACCAATACTGAAGCAGCCGCAGAAGGTTCATCATTAGGAGTTTGGAGATATCAAGACCTTAAATCCAAGGAGCATCAATTGACAGAACCTAATTTGTCATTATTTGACGACCCAGATGCGTATGTTTGTAAATATTTTGCTATTATAGTTATTTTTTTAATTTTGGAGTATCAATGAAAAAGTGAATGTAGAATTCAATAAATTCTTCCATTTTTACTAAAATATTTTGTTGAAGTGAATTAAAAAGAAAACAAATCAAAAAGGACTCCATCACAAAGGTATAATTTCTCCTGATTTTTGTTTCAAAGATAGATTTATAAATGGTGTAATTGAACAGATTGTTAAACTTCTATCTTATATTCTTATAAGATCTTATATTAAACAGGGTGTCCCGTAAATAGAGTAAAATATTTGAAGGGTTGATTGTTGATATCAAGATCTACAAAAATTTCATGTTAACAGTTGTCCAATTTTCAGCAGAATATTAAGCGATAATTAAAAGAAATTAAATATAACTCCATAGTAAACTAAACAAAATTTTCTTTAAACGAAAGTAGAAATTGTCATTTTTAAAACCATTTAAGGAGGACTATTGAGCGGACAAATAGCTAAGTACAATTTAAAAAAAAAAAAAAACATAAAATGTTTGGATTTTGTTTTATCATCCATCAACAGTACTATAGCGACAGCAATTTTAGAAAAACCTTCTCGTTTAATGAATTTTTAATATCCGGAAAAAATTTAAGATTCACCTCAATTTTTATAAAGAAATGATGTGTTTCTATGTAGGCACCTAAAAGTACCTGTGGTTTTAGCAAACATGAATACAATCAACTTTTGCAAAGCTTTTATTTCTGGTTTTTCCATGTTATGAGAGTATTGTAATAAACAAGTGCCTAAAAACACATTTTATTTATAAAATTAAATACACATTTTATTTATAAAATTAAATAATTTAAAAATAATGGTTTTTCAAATATTTTTTATGTAAGGTGGTTATGATATTGTGTTTTTCTCCCAGATTTTTGACATAGAAATTTATGCTTATTTATAAATGACAAACTTAATGTTTCTAGCCCTAATATTTACTGTTTCATAAAAATAATTAAAACAATCAGAAGGTTTAAGGTTATTAAACATAGATTTTAGTAAGAAACATTAAGTTTGTCACTAATAAATACATATTAATTCTTGTGACAGAGATCTGGAAAAAAGAACAGTTTCATAGCTACTTTCTTTACATGAAAAAATATTTGAAAATCATTATATTTAAATTATTTATTTTTATAAATAAAATGTGTTTTTAAACAATTGTGTTTATCTTATATAACGGAAAAATAAGAAATAAAAGCTTTGAAACAGTTATTTGTAGCCATTTTTGCCTACAATTCACGTGCATTTAAAAACTTTTCCTAATAAATCTCAACTTAATCAATAAATACTCGAAAATTATTAAACGAGGATTTTTTTTTTTAAAGTGGGATAAATGTAGTGCAGTTGAAGGGTGATAGAAAAAAAAAAAAATAATTTATGATTTTTTTTAACGGAACTTGGCCGTGTTTGTCCGCTCAATAGTTTTAACAATCACAAAATATACTTTCATTTAAATTAAATTTTATCTAGTTTACTATGGAGCAATATTTAATAACTTAAATAAAATATTTACTAAGTTATCGCTTTCTATTGAATAAAAACGTGACTCGCTTAAAAAAAAGGCAAATCTTAAATTTTCTACTTTTCTGCTGGAAATTGAACAATTATTTATATGAACTTTTGTGTAGATCTTGATGTCTACTATCAGCGTTTTTAATATTTTCCTCTACTTACGGGACACCTTGTAGAATATTTTCTTCCATGCTTTAATACTCTGGATTCCAGAACACTTCGTTTATTGTTCACATTATTTCTGAAATTTAGCAGGTTGTATTTTTCTCAAACCTCCACCATTATTTTTCTTTTTATTAAGTGTATTAGTACTTTAAGGTTTTATGCTTCAGTAGAAGACTTCTTGAGTGAATCAGAGCGTTGAATTTGTTTGTGAATTGATTCGGTGTCAAAGATGTACGTTTTTGGTATCAACTTCTTTCTATTTCGGAAGTGGAATACATAAATTAATAATAAATATTTTTTACAGAATTAATACGCCCCTTCACCAAATAGTAGATTCAGGAGTGGGGGGGGGGAACTCTTAGACTGAAGGCATCTAGAATCCTTTTTTAAATGTTTGTATTTTCGTTTCTATGAATGATCTGAGCCGAAAAAATAAACGATGTCAATATATTATATTTTTAAATCCTAACACATAACGAAAATTGTATTTGTAATGCTATTAGGAATCTCTATCCCCTGATCTCTAAAGTTATTCTCTTTAAATAAAATCCTGAGTCCGCTACTGTCCCCAGTTGTTATAATTTAGGCATAGTTTGAACTTATCATAGTTTAAAATTAATTATGTTTTAACCTGATGTACTAGAGACGGTTGGCAAACTGGGTTATGGAAGGCAGATGCACAAAATATAGTTCGAAAACTTGAAGAGACTCCAGCAAACTTAATGTACCCCTCTGCATTTGCTGAGGTAATGTAAATTATTTCTTTCATAAGAAAGTGGGGTAACTTTTTTTGTCATTTTATTTAAATGAATGCTTTTCAGGCAGCTATAGATATCCTATGCCCATGTGGAGTACACGTTGAAGTAAGAGACAGAGATTGGATCACGGATAAGCATATGACTGCTTTCCTGGCAATGTCAAGATCTTCATGTAATCCCGCCATGTTATTGGAATGCTCTTACTGTGGTGGTGGCGAAAGTGATAAACCAGTAGTTTTAACTGGTTCGTCATTTTTCTCTTCATAAGTCCATGTCTTTGAAAATGAAAAAAAAAAAAATTATTTTCTTTCAGGAAAGGGCGTAACTTTTGATGCTGGTGGCCTATGCCTGAAACGTCATTCAAAGAACTTTGAAGAACATCGTGCAGATATGGCAGGAGCCGCTGTTATTGTTGGAGTTTTAAAGGCTATGGCAAGGCTTCAAGTACCTATGAATGTTAATGGTAAAATATTCAAATACAAAAAATTCTTTTTAATTATTTTGGCGGTCATCTTGGGCTAATGATTATAATTTATGTATTTTTTTTTATTTACATTTTTTTAAATATTGGTTTTGATATATCAATCGAAATAGAAAAAAAAAATTACTTTCCTACCTATAAGGAAAGTATTGCGATCTGGTCGAATTTCCGATATGCGTTTTTCGACGGACCTATACGTTTCAGAGCCCCGTGAGTCCGAAAAACACATTTTTAGCCATTGGTCTGTCTGTCTGCACCAAGAGTTTCTCTTGAACTAGTGAACCGATTTAGTTACCTCGTTTGTTATTTTGTAGATTTTTGACTACTGATGTCTATGATACAAAATGGGTGCTCCATGCGCAATAGTGGTTGCGCCATAAATGGAAGCATATTTTTCTATTGACTGTAGCGCAAAAACGGCTCTTATAATATTCTAATAAATGGCCTTTCAATTTTTGTACATTTACTAAATTCCCGAGAAAATTTAGGAAAAAAAGTTACAAAGAAAAGAAAAATGTTTTGGGGCCTAACTCTTTTTTTTTTTTTTTTTATTCCATAAATTTTCCCAAACTTTGATCCAAATGGAACGAGTCGTGTATAAAAAAATACATTTACGGGTGTGTGTAGTAAATAAGTGGATAAAGTTGACATAGGATCATCTATGTTCCAACCCACACAATTATTAATCAAATCTTTTTGTTGATGTGGAAAAGACTGTGTTTGTATTATTATTTTATATGGAAATTTCATTATTCTTATATTATATAGGTGTTCCATCGAGGATTGCCTTTTCACGTCAGGGCTGAGCTCCAGAAGACGCGGTCAAGCCAATCTCCACCCTGAAGACCGCGGCCAGTCATCTCCTCTTCCACTCCATATATCTATTTTCTTCTGGGCCGTTATCGCTCCAATCTTCTCGGCCTCCAATCAAGAATTCGGTTAGGCCATCGTTCGGCAGATTGATTCGTCTTGTCTGACCGTCTGACATCATCTTTTGCCTCTGCTTGACAGATATATTGACAGTAAACTTCATCCCGCAGCTACCTTTTCCAAAAATCGATCTCCACAGCTTGAACCTTTGAATAGAGCTGGTATGATATAGTTCAGGTTCAGTTGTATAAGTTAAGGTGGATTTTATTGTGTGTGATGTGTCCTTTGCTTGATTTCTTTTAGAATTCTGTCGTTTCAGGATGAAGCATTCGTGTGACTTTTTGAGCTTGATCCACTTTTCTCCGCACGTAATTTTCTGATGACCCCGAGGAGTCGAGGTAAGATTCCAGATACTTAAAAACATCCACCTTAGTACATGTCTGAGAATCGACAAGAAGATTACCAGGATCCTCGGCGCAGATAGCCTTGTATTTTGTGAAGTTCACCCTAAGTCCCGCAGACTGATGGCAAGCTCATTGGGAGCACATCATCCTTTCCAAAAACACCTTTCTGCGCGCAAATATAACCTGATCATCGGCGTAGCGGCCGACTTATGAATATTACTGGGGAGGAGATGGGAGGAAAATTATAGGATCACGGGGTGGGAGTCCTGGGATAGTGGTGATATTGTTTGGAATATATCCCATATGTGTAATATATGACTGTATAAAAAATTACCATTTAACGCAGGTATTGAGTTATTTCAAGCCCTTCCTGATGATAAACAAATCACGCAAAATACCAAAAACAGTACAGTATTTTAATATATGATTCCTTGTACAGTTTAGGCGAGTTTATGAATCCAAAATAGGACACCGTTAAACAAATTCTACTATACCTGCTAGTAAATAGGTACAATCCTTTGTAATGAAATAGTAATGTACACGATCGATATGTTCAAGTAGTTCATACTACAGAAATTTGTTGGAGAGACTGAGCCCCCACCACGGCAGCAATGGGAGGAGAAGGGAGGGTGAGGCTCAAGACCCGCCCATTTTTTTTTTTTTGTGAAAAAATGATACACCAGCATTGGTGATTGATGGCTCCACATCTCCACTAAGACTATAACATTTCTTGAGAGTCGTTTAAGTAAATCCTGAAAAGGGTCGGCACCATACTACAGCCCTGTTTCAGATCCTTAGTACCCAAGAAAGATTCCGACAAACAACTTCCAAGCTTCACGCGATAAATGTCGTCTCGGTGAAGATAACTCACTGCTTCCATTAAGGCCACGTCGATGACAGCTTCTTTTAGCGCTGTCCGCATTCTACATCGCAGGACGCTTTTCTAAGCCTGTTCGAGGTCCACGATAGCTATATGGAGCTCCTGGTTCAGTATTTTTTTTTTTTTTTTTTTAATGTTTATATATTGCAGAATATAATAGAAAAATCAATTTTATTCTGGGACGTAGTCCCTTTGTTTGGTTTTATTTTAAACATAAAAAAAAACATTGAATATATGAGTAAAATGTATATAAATATGAGTAAAACGGTTTTACAGCTTTGATTCCTTTGATGGAAAACATGCCCGGAAATATGGCAATGAAGCCAGGAGATGTTGTAGTATCATTGAATGGTAAAACTATTCGAATAGAGAATCCTGATAATGAAGGAAGGGTGATACTTGCTGACTGCCTCACCTTCAGTAACGAATACAAGCCCTGCCTCACGATTAATATTGCTACACTTACAGGTAAAGAGTATATTTATTTTAGTCATCTTTATTCAGGTATAAGTTTGTTCATCTAGTAGAATAGAATACACATTTTCTTCTGCCATCTTGGGGTTTTGGTGAGATGAAGTATGAAGTTCAGAAACAGAGGATTATCTATGTTAATGTTATTCTAAAGACCGGTATAGTTAAATTTGAATTGAATAAAATATTAAATTTTAGCTGCAGTAAGACACGCCCTTGGTTCATCTGCATCTGCAGCATTCTGTACCTCTGAGGTGGTGTGGAAGGAACTGGCTAAAGCTGGAGCTGAAACAGGTGATAGAGTTTGGAGGTTTCCAGCGTGGAAAATGTTCACAACTAAAGTTACTGGTAATGTATTGATTTCATGTTAAAGATATAATGTAGAGTGCGTGTTTACGTAGTCATAGATGCTTGTATGTGTAAAAATCTTTAACATTTTTTTTTCGACTATATTAACGCTATTTTAAAGGTTTCTTCATTTTCTCATCAACGTGGTAACGCTAGGCATGGAAATGGTGCGGTGCATACCACTTTTTCTTGATACCTCAAGTTTTTTGGTGTCAAAGTTAAATGTGAATCTTAAGACGGGTTTACATATTTCATGAACACCAGAAATATCAGGAGTAACCATACCCGATTTTGCATCCCTACCCCTTCTCTTTAAGAAATTTCATTACTCTCTTCTTCCTAAAATTAAATATAAGTAGAATGAGAAAAAATGTAGATCTTATATTTACTGTTTTTTCTTTTATTCCCTGGTTCGAAAGTTTCCTTTACTTGATACTTCTACAGCAAATATAAAAAATTGTCTCATTCAAAAATTCAACTCCCCGTCAAAATGTGCCCCCTCAAATATTTCGATGAAGCAATTTACGCCATGGAACCTCCTTTTAAGCACACCTGAGAAATAGGGTGTTTACACATTTTTTTATTTCCGGAATAAACAAACATGGCGGATGTTGGGAATTGTATGTTGTATAACCCGTCGCCGACCAAGGCTTGCGATGAAAAAAAAAAATACCTTGTTCGATAAATGACACATCAACAGAGCTTTGTATGGGAAATAATTTACGCAGTAACCTCATGTTTGAGTCGTTTACCAATTTTTTTTTAATTTTATCAATCACAGAAACTTTCGAGAGGCCGGACTGGAGACGTTGGAGGGCGGTGGTTTAGAGACCCCTGCTCTTGAAAAAAAGTCTATTTGTCCATAATTTGTGAAATGTGTAAACTCGAGGTACCTCCCATTTCATCTTCATAGGGTCCCTATTTCTCCTTGTTACAAATCCAAACTATTCGAGCACTTTAGTCTCTAAATTTTCATATATGAGAGGTGTTTGTGCAAAGATAGTTCTAAATTCTCCCATTACGGCGAGTAGTGGGGGCAGATCAGAAGATCTAAAAGATAATTTTTAATCCGTATGAGCTGTCATTTCACTCCTCCCATTCCAGCACTGATAACTACGGAGGCAAGACTACCAGACATGAGGGCCCTCAGGTACAGAGGATGTCTGTACCAACATAAAAATGGTAAGCTGTTTTTGCACAATTCCTATAACCTACTAATTCATATAATACAGTCCACTGCCTAAATGAGTAGAATGTTCCCTCTTAAGAACTCATGAGAGTTATTTGTATTGCCTTAATTAAAAATTGGAAAGTTGCCTCAACAGGAGGTATGTATATTTCCATTCTAATTTTCTTAACTACTCTCGTTGTATGTACTTCACTTGGATGCATTTCGTTCGATTCATGTGCTTAACATTAGTGATCTAGGATAATTGTTAGAATATTACATTAGCATTTTCATCCCAATTTATTACCTCTTGAAATATAATACTAACTCCTGTCAATTTTACTAATATTTGTATTAACCAACAGGGTGATGTAGTTCTTTAATGCAGATTATTTTTATATCTTCCAAAATATATCACTTCTCTATTTGATACATTGATTTTGGTTTGGGTAACTGTATTACTGTTTGAGTAAACGTTTTCACAAGTCTGGAGGTTTCAGTATTTAAGAGAAAGATGCTAAACGGAGTTTAGCATACAGGAGTCTTTACTTATTTGATTTAAGTGCTGACAAAAAAGATTATTCATGTATCTCTATACATTTTAAAACTTTTTTGCTAAAAAGAAAATTTTAACTTGCCAATAAACCTTATTAAAACTAAAATTTTGAATGCAAGTTAAAATAATTAATGAAGAACAAATATAAAATGAAAAAAAGAAGAAATAAACAAAGCCTACGTTTTCTTATTTATTGTTGGCTAATGAATCCATGAAAACATACTAATCAATAGCGTAATTGCGGATGAATGAAAATTCAAGTTAAGAAATTAAGTGTAAGTCTCTCGATACAAGAATCTTCCCACTGATGGGGAAAAGACTAACATTTAAATATTATTTTAAAAAATAAATTTTATTCGAAATAGATGAAAAATACTTATATTTTTTATTTCATTAGATTGGGAGGGTGTTGATGTTCATAACGTTGGTTGCGGAAGAGGAGGAGATCCCTGTCTAGGAGCAGCATTTTTAATGGTAATATGTTGTTTCTTATTTACATATAATAGGTATACTCTGTTTCGTGGATTGAAAGAAAAAAAAATAAAAGAATGCCCGTTGAGTCCATTAGAAGTCCCACAAACCTGTTGCACTACAACACAAAAGTATTACCTTTCACATTAGACTGCATTAATCAGTCATAAATTCAAGACATTCATATTCCTGACAAATCAATGTTTATTTAGTTGCCTATAATCACTCGTAAAAATTAACACTCTTATTTAATGATCTTCATAAATCTATTTTTGAGTTTTAGATAAAAAATGAATAAAGGAAATTTATAAGAAATTTTGTTCATTTTTATCTGAAACCAAAATATATAAATATATACCTAATAGCTGCTATTAGAAATCTACTAGTTCGGCTCAATATTAATCCTATTTTACTCCTTTCAAATATTAAAACCTCAGGCCTCGAAATATTGAAATTAATATTAATAATAAGATGTATTTGAAAAATATCGATACTTTATTAATTTATCTATATATTTACATTCATACTCACTCTTTCCAAAAAAAAAAGAAAAAAAAAAAGAATTTAGAAAAAGAATTGATATCTTTTTCAATATATCGAATAACCATTACCTTCGTTATATTTGAAAAATTCCGAAACAGTATGTTTTAATATTTATTATTTTCAAGTTTTAACCCTTTTTTGTCAAATTAAATTTCCACAATTTTTTTCTTTTTTCGACTCAATAAAATAATAATCACGCTAAGTTTGTTAATTATTCTTTATTAATGTACATTTCGGGTAATCTCTGCCCCCCTCTTCAATACATAATGTACCCCATAATTGGATAAGTCCTGGTTGTTAATAAGTTTGGTCAAACTAAAGTTTAGTTTTAACCATAGACCTTGATTTTATTCTTATTTGAGTTTTGAGCATTTTCCAAATTCTAGGGTATATTATATGCTGAGCAGGAGGGCAGAGATTTCCCTAAACGCTCATTAATAAAGAATAATTAACGAACAAAGCGTGGTTATTTTATTGAAATCGACCTGTAGGTGAAAAACAGTGAGAATATAATATATAAACATTTTTTTTTTCAATATTTTTAATATTAGCTCTGCATACAGGTGTTTGATTTCAATAGATAAATATTTGTTCTATTTTTTATCGACTCGGGCCAACTTATCCTTTGAAAATATGTAAGAATACAATAAATCAATTGAGCTAATAATAATAATATAAATTTCCTAAGGTTATTTATTTGCTCCTTTTATTCTCTCAATGTTACCATCTTCATGTTGTTTCATTGTTGGGGTTCTTTAATTATTATTTTATATCTATATTGTAGGAATTCGCTCCACCTGTGGACTTTCTGCATTTGGACATAACTGGTACCGGAATGTCAGCAAGCGGTGCATGTGGAAATCCCCCGTATTATCGAAAAGGATTCATGACAGGAAGACCCACCAGAGCACTTCAGCAATTCCTTTCTCAAATGGCTTGTCCGCTGGATAGGCCAACAACTTGTTGAAAAATTCGTCAAACGTGATGTCTATAAAAGTGATGTGCTATGTATAATGACTCATGCGGATATTAAAAACATATTTACAATATTTTAAATAAACATACGAATCTTAACCAATAATGTTACCAAACAAGACAATACGAGTCGTTATGGTACATACATCTAATTTTAAATTTGCTTGCCTTATCCTTAAAGAGATTGACCTTACAGATATTACAAAACTATCATTACTAATAAATATGTTAAAAAATGATAATTAATGGTAAAATTATTTATATACTTTTGATATATTTGATATACTTGCGGCCGACAAACGTTTTTGCGCGATATTTATTAATCTAGTGGTAGAATTAATTAATAATTAATTATTTAAGTAACATTGATAGAATTAAGTTTAATGTATGTATATGGGTGCACTTCTCCCCCAGGATGGTAAAAAATTTCCGAAACAAAGTTCCAAAAAGCAGATATTTTAAGAAAAGAGAAATATAGAGAGAATTCATCCTCAAAGACGAAATTTCTAATGTGATATAGAAAAACAAATCTGGTGCGCGCAACACTCAACTTTCATTTACAGCTCCACATTCAATAAAAATTATTTTTTGGCAATTTTGGGCTATTATAAAATTTTTGAAGAGCATTTTTAACAGAGCTGCAGCTTATATCTTATAACTAACAAATCATTAACTATAACAAATATCCTATCAATTATATCAACGGTAGACAATAAAAATCTTATTACTCCATCTGTTTTTGTAAACCATAGAACTCCAATCTCTGAACAATATATATATGCCTAGAGAGGTTTGAAAACTGGCAAAATATTCTTGAAATAAACCGCGATTTTTAAAGGCAGCATGATCCGCCTGTTAGACTCTCATTTTCAAAATATTAAGTATTATATATATTGTAAAAACAATTCCTTTCAAAAATTTCTTCAGATGTCAATTTCTTTGCACAGGGTCTTGGGGTGGTTGAATTGGGAGAAATGGGTAAGGGTGGGGGATAAGGGTAGTGGTGTAAGAGTGGGGAAAGCACCTGATACAGAGGCGTGACCCCTCCTGAGAAAATTGCTGAGTCCACCTCTGTATGGGTGTGTGTATTTAGTGATAAATATAATTAGCAACGGTTTAACGGTAATTAGCACTGCCTAACCTTACTGAGTGAGGCCTCTAATGATAAAAAGTTTCCACGGCTCAAAAATGAATAAAGACATTTCTATTTTATGCTTATTTATTCGTTTTAATTAAAATACCCTTTTTTTGTTTGTTATGGATTCTCTGATTTGCTGGTAATCATAAAAAGTAAACAACAATTATTCTTTATTTTTAATAAATTATTAATGAAAATATAGTCAACATGAAGAACACTCATTTTGTAAGCCAACAGTTGTTTTCGACATTTCTCAATTTTAATCAAGTAATATTCTGTTCAACAAAGGAAAGATATCATAATAATCACAAGTTTGGGTTGAAACGTCGGCACAAATGAAAAAAAAATATAATGACTGCATCCTGAATATTTATCACCCATATAATATTTTTTGTGATTTTCAAATAAAAATTCAAAGGGGTCCGCCCCCCTTGGCTCAGATTTCGTGAAAACAAATTTTATTTTTGTTTGCAATGAAAATTTGTATTTGGTGGTTTTCTGAGATGCGAAATACATATCTCAACTTGGGTATATTTGATGTAATAGAGTAATATAAAACGAAAACAAGTGTAAACAAAAAAAGAAAAAATGCAGAGAAAATATTTTATCAGACACAACTGTTTAGAATTTGAGACTTTTTAACTTTTTACAACAATATTAATAATTTTTCACATATCAATATTTTTAACAATCTGAAATGATTTAGATATTTATATAGGAAAACATTAGTTTTGGCTGACTTCCAAACAATTACCATTTTAAGAATATACCACTGAATTTCGAACAAAAGTACAGAGGAATAGAGGAATTTCTAGAAATATTAGGTAACAGCCTAAACCTGCCAGTATAATCTAGTTGGAATAGTGTTTATGAATTCCTGCAACAAATTTTAATTGTGAAAGGTATTTTTTTTTTTTTTTAATCAGCATATACGATTTCATAAATAATCACGAATGTGGCATTGTCAAATGATCTTTAGACCATTAACTTCTATTCTAATAAACATGAAGATCTAACTGTATTAAATGAATATCCCAAAAATACAAATACAACGAAACACAGCGGCGTAATAATAAAATGGACACCAATTTCGAAAATAACGGCTTCAAAATTTTTTAAATAGACCTCATATAAAAGAAATTGGGAAACTAAAAGGTAGCATTGTAATATAAAAATGGAAATTATTTTCAAAAACTACGGCTCTGAAAACATAAATAGACCCAGATACCGAAGAAATCTGAAAAACTCAAATAAGTCAAAACACATGGCGTAATCTCAAAATGGACATACTTTTCAAAAACTAGGGCTCCGAAAACATAGACAGATCTAGGATCTCCTAGGATGAAATAAATCCGAAAAACTCAAAAATGTCAAAACGCAGTGGCGAAATATCAAAACGCACATCATTTACAAAATCTATGACTCCGAAAACATATAAATAGACCTTCATATGAAAGAAATCCAAAAAACTCAGAAATGTCAAAACGCAGTGGTGAAATATCAAAACGCATATCATTTACATCTTTGACTCCGAAAACATATAAATAGACCCTCATATGAAAGAAATTCAAAAAACTCAAAAATGTCTAAAACGCAGTGGCGTTATCTCAAAATGGAGATCATTTTTTAAAAAATCAAGTTTTTAAAATATAATATAAAATTGTATATGAAAATTTAAAATAGATGTACACGTATATAACGAGGTCGCAATGTCTATATTATTTAAAAAAGAAATCCGAAATTTATTAGTTATGAGTTAAACAATTAAAAGTGTATATTTAACAATATTTATGTAATTACAACAATGGCACATCCATTAATATATTTAACAATAGGCATATAGTTCTTAAAACGATAATTTATAAAAGGCCGTGATATGGTATGATGTTCAACTTTTTTCGTTATTAGTTGATATATGGGTCCCAGGTCATTCTTCTGTCGAATATCAGTCCAAGATATTGTATTTTATCTGTTTGGAGAATTTCAGCATTGTCAAGATAGATAAGAGGACATGTTTCATGTCGAAGAGTGAAAGTTATGTGTTGTGATTTGTCTTGATTGAGTCGAATTTTCTTAAGTTTGCACCAATCGTTTAGTTTTGTTAGATGATATTGTCAAGTCTGTGTGTTGGATTTTTATGTCTTGTTAGAATTGCTGTATGGTATGCATATGCCACTATAATAGTTTGGTGCTGTTAGGAATGTCGTGTGTGTATATGATGTATAAAAGCGTAGCGAGTACTGACCTCTGAGGAACTCCTGCTAAAGTTGGTCTCATTGAAGAAAGTTCTGAATCTTGGCAGAGAAAAATCTGTCAGAAAGAAGGGATTGAAGGAAAAGATAGGGGGTAGGATGGAGTATTATCTTAAGTTTGATGAGAAGTTCCTTATGCCAGACTCTAGCTTGAGTGACATCTAGAAATATTCCAGTAATAAAATACCTCCCTAGGCGACTGAAGAAATTGCAAAACATCGCAGGTGTGAGATTGTACCTAGGAGGACAGTAAACTGCAGCAAAAGTAATGGTTTGGTTTTGGGTATATAGTGTACCGGCTCTACATTGTATGTCAGACATAATGGATAAATATAGTGAGTGGTGCTTTAGTGATGTTTTAATTAGTATCGCTGTGCCACCGTGAGCTGTATTGTATGGGTGAGCAATTCTGTACATTCTACAACCGTGAATGTAAAATTTAGAACGTGAAGTTAAGTGTGTTTCAGTGATAAGGGCAATGTCAGTCTGTTTATCGTGCAATTACTTGTCAAGTTCAACCTTATATTGATTAACACCGATTGTGTTTCAAAGAAGAACGGACATGGAGCACACAGTCAGCTGATTAGTTGCCATAACCAGTGAATAAGGCCTCGGTAAGATGTGAAAGTTCTTGGAGGAGGCTGAATGAGATTATTCAACCCACTTAATGAGTTGAGCAGCTGAGGCGATGCTAGATGAATGTCAGCCAGATGTTTTCTCTTTCTCGTTCCTGAAAATCCCTGTTGTTGGTGAGAACCTGGTGCTGCTTCAGGTACAGTTCATGGAGGCTGTCTCTTCGGATGTTGCAACTAATTCGATGTTAAGGAAGCTGAGTGAGACTGCTGAGGTTCAGGTAGAGGCGGAAACTCACGGGTTGCTGGAGGTACGCTAATTTGTGTTTTGATAGGGTTTTTCGAAGTTTTTCTTAATTCTTCTAACGTTTTACATCCCTTGTAAGTTGCTGAATGTGAACCTCCGCAATTCACACAACGCGGCTGTCTCTCTTGGCTTTCTGCAAGTAGTATTGTCATGGCCTAGGCCACTTCTCCGGTGCGTGATTGTAGTACATAGTATGTCCGAAGTGCTGGCATCTAATATATTGCAGGATGACTCTCTTCTTTCTAGGCTCTTCAATTTTTTTTTTTTTGACTCAGAGTACCGTAAAACATGTAATTCCACAGAAAACTCAGATTACCAAACTATATATTACATATGTAGGTAAGTGAAAGTAATAAACAAAAATACTGAAAGTTCAAAGCACCCATTGGTGGCACTACAACTGACTGAAATTAATACAGAATTTACAACTTGAAAAGCATCCACTGAAAAATCACATGTTGTTATACCATTGGCAAATCAGTGATATATAATTGACAATAGTTATTTTTTATTTTGGATTGTCATTAACTGGCCCTTAATCTTTGTTCTTGATTCTGTGGCTCACTCACTGATCACTCTCCATGGCAGAGGACTTAGTCCCTGTCCTTGTCTGACTTTGCCAGAATAACATAGTTAATGAGTGAGTTCCAGAAATATAATCTTGAATGAATATATTATAATTTTTTTTGTTTTGTTTTTTGGAGGAGTACAAAAATAAAAAAGTTAATTTAAAAATGAATTTTATGATTTTGTACAATTACTTATTCTAGCATACAAGTAATAAATATTAAATAACTCTATAATTCAACAATGTCTAGTTTTGAAAGAAAAAAAAGATGAATTTCTAAAATTCTCGAATATCTTGATGCTGACAGTAGCATATTATGTGTCTAATATTTATGTTTTAATATTTAGTAAAAATGTAATTGATTAGCAGAAATGTATGTGAACATTGTATTCTAATGACAATTACCAATATAAATCACATAGGAATGTAATAATATGCATTATTTGTTATAAGATAATGATGGATGGAAGATTATCATATTTTGTTTTTATTGATCTTTGTTATAAATGAGTCTTAAAAAAAATTAAATTAAAACATAAATGTTAATTATAAATATATGATAAATACATACAAACAATATAACAAAAACAGTTCACAAATTTACTGCTTGATAAATTAACCAGTTAAACTACATTAATTTAATAATGCAAGTTGGATACCTATAGTTAAATACAAATCCAATTAAATCCTTTTCCTGATTGTTTTATGTGTAATTATATTACAAATAATTTAAACTAAAATAATTGTAGAATTACAGGTTTAACCATATAACTTATAAAAACAACTTTGCAAAGATAGATACAAATTAACAAAAACATTTACACTATTACACCTCACTCCTTGCTATCACATTAGTTGTCACGAGAAAAAATTAAATAACTATTTATCATAGCTGTTAGTAGAATGTTCCATTAACAAAATAAGAAAGACTAATATAATCCAAAAATATTTTAACAGTTCTTAGCAATAAATTACTGCTTTTAATCCTACGTTTAATTCTAGTAAGACGTGCTAATTAATTTACTTGAAGAGGAAACTGAAACAAAAAAAAAGTAGTTAAAAACGAAATTCTTTATACCATGAATCACTTTTTTATTGAACATTAATTTATTCCATTCAATCAATTAAGTAGTTTGTACTAAATTAATCATTTAAATATTATATAATTATTATAACTAATTAATTAAAAATTGTATTAAATGAAATATGACAACATAAATACTGTTGTCAGCAAATGTATTCATACATGCATTGATAAAAACTAAAAAAAAGTAATAAAAATAATTCTTTTCTACATATTTTTTTTATTTATTCGTCTAAGTATAAATTCAATACCACTGCTATTAATTTTATCAAAAATATTTGCCTAACTTAAATCAATATTTAAGTATATAACAAGAAATTCGATGCAGCAAACATTTTTATAAATATTCATATTATATAATAATTCATTTATTTATATTAGTCCAAATTTTTAAATTTATTTGTATGTAAGTCCTTTGTTTTTTTATTATCATTTTGTATCATATGAGGATTTATGTGGTTTTTCAAATTCGATAGGACAGTACCCCTCCCTTTCTTCCAACTAATTAGTTTTAAGCAGTGTTGGGCAAAATTTATCTTAAATAAAAGATAATAGATAACGAATAATTTATTCGAACTTTTCAACTACAAATAACGAATAATTGTGTTTATCTTTTATCTAGATAATAAATAAATTCAAGTTATCTGTTATCTTTTTGTTTGTTATTCGACTTTTTTCAAATAAATTTAGAATAATTTGACGCTAATTTTATTTTTCTTCTATATACGGGCCAATGTGTATATTTTCAGATCCATAGTTTTTTAAAATTATCTCCATTTTAAGATTACACCACTGCATTGCGACTTTTTTGAGTTTTTAGGATTTCTTCCTTATCAGGGTCTTGGAGGTGATTTTTATGAAAATTCTGTCGGATTTAAGATAGCGCCCCCTCTCCCTCTCCCCCGAACCGACTTTTTGTAATTTATCAGATTTAATTGATATGAGGGTCGACTAATATGTTATCGGGTGCCCTTTTTATGAAAATACTGTCGGATTTGAAATAGCGCCTACCCTTCCCCTCCCCCTCTGGCTTTTTATAATTTTTCAGATTTAGTTGATATGAGGGTCGACTAATATGTTATCGGGGACCCTTTTTATGAAAATACTGTCGGATATGAGATAGCGCCCCCCCGAACCGACTTTTTGTAACTTTTCAGATATAATTGATATGAGGGTCAACTAATATGTTATCGGGGACCCTTTTTATGAAAATACTGTCGGATTTGAAATAGCGCCTACCCCTCCTCTCCCCCCCGCCATCTCAAATCTGACAGCATTTTCATAAAAAGGGCCATTCAAAACATAATAGTCGACCCTCGTATCAATTAAATCTGAAAAGTTACAAAAGTCGGTTCGAAGGGAGGGGAGGAGGGCGATATCTCAAAACCGACAGCATTTTCATCAAAAGAGCCCCGTAAAACATATAAACAGACCTAAATTTCGAAGAAATCCTAAAATTGAAAAAAAAATTATTCGAATCGTATTTTCATCTTCAATAACGAATAATAGATAACAGATATATTTGTAAATAACAAATAATCATCTGTCCAAAGATCATCGAATAAGAAATAACGAATAAAAATTTATCTATTATTCGTTATCTAGATAAAATTTCAAATAATTTATTTAAATAATGCCCAACACTGGTTTTAAGATATTTTATTTTCATTAAGGAACTGTGGATCGACACAATCCATAAATGTTCGATGATATTTAAATCTGGACTCTGAATAGGATTTTCATGTTCATTTGGATAGATATATAGCAGACATTCATGTGTGTGAAGTACTTCGAGCAATGGATTATTGTTCTGGTAAAATTTGAATGTTCGTTTTATACCCATTTTTGCCATTACCATCCATTAAATTTTCTTTCTGTTCCTTTCAAATATATACTTCTTGATCACTCTAGCGCTAAAAACTAATTTCCTGACTGCACTAGCAGACATACTTACAGCCATACAGAAAAACAACTACCCCACCTTTCAGTGTAGCTGACAAATTTTGCTCCTCAAATTAATTTCCACTTTTCCTTAACTATCGATATTAAATTTTCTCACATCTGAATATATTACATCATTTCATTAATCTTTCATAAATTCTTTTCATCAACACTTTAGTAAAAGCCAACTTATTTTTCTTATTCATTAATTTCTTTTTCTATTCACTTAGGCTTTAACTCCGTATTGTTTTAGTATTCTCCGAAATGTATCTGGTCCAGCTTGTTTGCCTGGTGTTATTTTTGTAGACTCTTAGGGATAGTGTGGAAAACATGGGTATAGATTTAACATTAAAATTTAACAGGATAATAATACTTAGCCCAAAGCTCTCCTCACACAAGAATGGTTGTTCCTAACAAGAAACTCCTATTCAGAATACAGATTTTAATCCCATCAAGCATTTACGGATTGAAAATATAACGTGACTAAAATATCAGAAAACTAAATTTTTGGAAGAATGGGGTGAAAATTTCTTCCAATTGAATCAGAAGATGACCCCATAAATTACTAAATGATTTAAAATGGTACTAAAAACAAAAGAATTCATCAAAAATATTAATTTCAAAATTTGGACTACAATAAATAAATAAATAATTACATAATATGGATATGATCGAAAACTTTTGCTTCATAGAAGTTCTCGGTTTACACTTAAATGTTTATTTAAAATGTATGTGTTATTGTTAGACAAATTTTTTTGATAACATTTACAACAGTGGTATTGAAATTATACTATGACAATTAAATAAAAAAAATAAATAGGAAAGAATTGTTTTTATCAATTTTTAAATTTTAACTAAAGTGTGAAACATTTGCTGGCCACTGAAGATGCAAACAGATTTTCAATTAATGAGAATAACACAAGACCAGTCTGTAAGTAGTGGCAATCTTTCAAAATGATTTCTTAAAAAGATTAAAATATTAAATAAAATAATAACAATTAAATTGTTAATTATGAATACGACACTACATTAAAAAAGAAAGATATATAATAATAGACGAGTATTGTGAAAAATGTAACTGTTTAGCCATGTATAAAGTGATGCACGTTTAAAACTTTAATAGTTCTGAAGCATCATAATAAACAAAAAAGGTATAAATACACGGTTTGTTATTTATACCTTTGTTATAGGGTTAAAACAATAGTAAGGAAAAAAACACGTAAAAAGAGCAAAGAAAAAATAATTTTGACATAAAATAAATAAATAAAGTTGTCATCATACTGCTATACATTTCACCCATTATATGGAAACATATTTTAAAATATCTTTAATGGAAGAATTGATTAATTCGAATGTAAAGGTGCATTTAGATATTTCACAAACTAAGGGACACACAAATATATAAATGGTTGTTTCACTAAGCTAGTATTTTTGTTTCTTGTTTTTGATATTTTCAATCTACTGTCGGTATCAAGAGAAATAAAATAAATAGTTTGGTTTAGCCATAAAAAATAAATAGTTTATTGCCACTGTTAGTTATGTTTCACATAGTATGTGAAATGTCTAAAAGCACCTTAAAAAATTTAAGAATGAGTAAATGAGATAGTACTTCCAGGCTTTCATAACAGTTTCTTATTTGGGTAGGCCACTCATTTTAAAAAACATTTAGTTGTTTTAATTATTTTATATTTTTCTTTTTTAATATTAACATTTTATTCATTATATTTAAAATTAAAATTTATCAGTTAATTTTAAGTTTGATAAAATTTTCTTTATGGAGAGGATATGTTGATTATAATATCCCCCTCCCCTCATTTTTATTGACACTTTATTTTGGATACAAATTATACAAACATTTAATTACACTTATTAAAATGTTGTGATGGTTGACCATCGTTATAATTTTAGAAGTTGGTCGGGGGTTCAGTCAATATATAATATTATATCATATAAGAGTATTTTTTTCTTGTATTTTCCAAAATTTCGACCTACGTTGTAAGCCTTGAAGAAAACCTAAAATGTAGGTGGAAACGTTGGAAAATACTATTATATAATAAAGTATTATGACACCGATGACCAACTTCTTCTCAAAATATACTTTTCAAAAGAAGATAATGTTTTAAATGACTCTTTGTTTTATTATAAGGTCATTTGAATCCTTTCCTCACATTTCTTCACACCACCATAAATTAGTTTATATGATTATATTGTTACGTTAGGAAAGGATTTAAATGAGCATAAATAAAATAAAAAAACAAATAAAACAAAATATAATTAGTTATAATTTATATAATTACTTTATAATAGAATGAATTGTATATCTCAGTTTGTATTGCTTGGTTTAGAAGAGTCGATTTTCTGCATATTTTATATACTTGCTACCAAGTATCAATGACAAAATAGAATTACAAAAACAAAAATTCTCTCCAACTTGCAATTTCTCTAGAATAATTCCCCATTTTTCCAGAAGCGAAAAAAACAAGTAATCTTTTAAGTATAAAAGAAGAATTCAACTCGATAAATGAAAAATAAATATGTGTCAAAACAATAAGCAGTTAAAAGTAGAGTAACAAAAAATCATAAAAACCTTGATTTGGTCATTCAAATTTTGGTAAAAGTTGTGGAGGAGACTAGAAATAATTTAATCTTTAAAGTCACTGAATCAATGAAGTTATATTGGAGAGTAATACAAAAAAAAAAAAAAAAAAAAAGCTTTTATTCATTCCAGATGGAGCTTTTGCGTTTGATGTATAGATGATGGACTGTAACTTCCTTTTTCTTTATTTGTTTTTATATAAAATTTTATTGATTAAATTCAGTATATTTTACTTTAAACTCACCTATATGGATAACCATGTGCTTTTGATCTGAATATAGACAGTATAATACTGAAAAATACATTCACTATGACCAATCCTACAATGGCAAATATCTGTCTCATTCTTACATCTCCCTTTCTCAAACCAGCATCAGTCATCATTATCATTCCAATAACAATCGCAGCATCTAAAGCTATGAGTAAAGGAGCCATACAAGACATTTTGTGCCAGAAAATTTAAATATTGCAAATAATCTGTAGAAATTATTTTTTTAAAACAAATTAATAACAATAATAATAAAAGGGAAGTGAACTCAAAGGTTTGACAGTGTTATCTCCCATCGCTGTCTGCATACTTCCATCTATCAACCATAAGTCCTAACCTAATGGTGAAAAACAACTCCTCATTGCATTTCTTGATTATCATCATGTCTTCAACCAATGGTTCAGAGTTTTCCATCATCTTGAAGGATTTAATTACTCTTGTATATCTACAATATAAACAAAAAACTCCACAAGAGCTATATAATCTTTTTTTATAACTGAATGTTTGAAAAACAGCATCTTATAAAAAATCACTTAGAGAAAGAGTCTAACTTGGGTGCATATAGTTGTAATTTCAACTTCATACATGTGGCAATTTACAACACTTCCTTTTATATATTGTTTACGACCAAATTTAAGGAAGGGACTACAAAATGAAATAAAGTGTGGTTATGTGGTATTTCTAAAAATAAAATTGTAGTGTAAAATTAAAAAAAAAAATTAAAATGTGGAAACTACTTTAATAATTCTTTTTAGAAAAGCTTAATGGCGAAATACCACATCATACATCATATCTATACCCTCAGTCTGAAGGTGGCTAATGCTAGCACGAAACGCAGTGAATCACATTTTTTTATTCCATTCTACTCAACTTTCCATGTTTCCTAAATTAAAATTTTTTTGTCATAATATAATATATATACTTACTTATTCATAAAATAAATTAATTATTTTTCTAAACAAATATATAAGTTAGCCAGGTTTGAAATTTACCATCTACAAAATATTTGTAGCAAATCTGTGTACACTAAATATATGCAGGGCACATTACATGAAAGGTAAGAAAATCTCTGACTCAATAGACATCGGGGTAGGATGTACAGGTTTTTGGTGGAAATGAGTTTTTGGGCTAATGGGTCTGTGTTATAAGTCAGTCTCTGGTAGAAGTTTTTACAGTATTGTGTTGCAGCATCTGAAACGGTTTGGATATCCAGGCCTTTATGTAGCAAGTTGATTGCGACATAGTATGGTGCATTTGTTATTTTTTTCAAAACTTTTGATTGAAAAATTTGAATTTTAACGATATTAGAGGCTTTAGCAATGCCTCATAGCTCTATCTCATAAGTCCATAAAGGTTATAAAAGTGATTTGTAGGAGGTAAGTTTGTTAGTTAAGGATAATTTGGAGTGTTTCTCAAGTTACCTGGATAATAATTCATAGGTTATTTAAATAAAGTAAAAAACTTACACAAAACTCAACGCACACATCAACACATTCATGCACATAAGAGTATTTACTTTTAAGAAGTGAATTTATATTAGAGTTATTTCATTAAACTAAAAAAATGTTAAGGAATAACAGTAACAATAAGATTGTGAGAAAAATAATTTTCAAGAAAAAGGATACTCAGTACAATCACTATATACGATTCCAAAACGAATTGACCTTGAGAAGATCCATGAAAATAGCTTATGCCATTATGGCTATGGTGCACGAAAGGTGGACCTCTAATATGGTTCCACATTTGTCCAGAAACCATGGCGAAACAGAAGAACTGAAAAGAAAATTAAACTTTTTATTGATCTATCTGGAGTAACAGATAAAAAATAATTATAAAGTATATATATAAATTGAACAGGTAAGAAAAATATTAGGAGGAAAAGCTTTTATATTTAAAATTAAATTAAATGTATGGTATTCTTAAAAAAATTAGTTTGCACTCCTTTTTTATTTTATTTTGTTCTTCCCTGTTCAAGCACATATCAGAGACTAAAATACTTACCACAGCACAAACACCCCAAAGAGATTTGTTATACAAGAAGTCTAAATTATTTCTTCTCATGTACAGGAAACCAGCAACGAGAATGAAAAGCATAAGCATAGCTAGAGTTCCAGAATAGTTTGTAGGACGGAAAACTCTAATCTATGAACAAAGAGTTTAACTTAAGAAACAGGCTGAAGAAAATAATCAATAAATTATAATTATATAAGCAGTAAAAAACAGATGAAACAATTGTAATTGAACAGATGAAAATGTACAAAATATAATATGCTAACCCTCGCTCAGAACCAATATGAATTTTAACACATTAAGAAGCAACTCATCTAAGAATTTAAAAATTATATTTTTGTGAAGACTTGAGAGAAAATTTAACAAACTGAACTTTTAACTCAAAAATAGTTATATTTAATTTTTAAAATAACACTCTAAACCAAACAGTATCTTGTCTCTAAAACCCAAAATACCAGCTAATGGTATTTATAATTCTTTTATCTATGACATTTATAATCTTTTATCTCTAGGAATAAATTATTAGAGGACCTAATAATGTTTTCTATATATGTGGCATTATCCAATTCCAGAAACTATAAGGGCTTATTTCCGCAAATTTTGACTCTGATTAATGACGAAATAAATCTATAAATTACAAAAACGAATGCAAATGGTGCCTTAGTCGAATTTCAGCAAAAATATAGACAGGAGATACTCCTTTCATTATATCTTGCTTATACAATTAACAAACACAAAACTCACCTGTATATCTGTTCTTTCGGCAATCCATTTGGCTATTGACTCTGCTGCAAATCCAACCCGTTGAATATCAAACGTATCAGCATTCTTTGGTTTTCCTTTAGAAGGAAAATGCATAAAAACTGGAGCTGCATTAAGCCTAAGCTATAAATAGAAATATACAAGCCAAAAGATAAAAAATATTGCTATAACATTTAAAGATTAAAAATAGTATTAAGTTAATGAAAGACTGACCATTTGGAATACGTCTGATCCCTCATCAAAATCAACCATAGCAAAAAACAATTTATTTGAATAAGTTTGAGGGTAGCGGAATGAATTAGCCACAATAGTAAATTCATCATTAGCATGCCTGTAAGTAATATTAAATTAATAAATAAAATCAATTGGAAATACTTTAAAGCTAGCTGAGAAGAATTGACATCTGGCAGATTTATTTTGTGTTGGTCAATTTAAAGGACTTCACAAATATTTCTGTTTTAACCAAGCTGTTTCAGAGAGAAACAAATAAAAATCATGGCAAAGTATAACCTTTAAAGTCCGAGTATTGCAAATCTAACAAGTTTGTAGATCCGAGAGCTGATATACAGCCTAAGGTTTGGTTAGGACTGATTAATGTTTTGACCAGTAATAACTGAGGAAGTGGGCAAGCAGAAAGGAGAGAGTTGTTTTCCTAGAACAAAATGTTAATTAATATAAAACCGCTTCTATTATAGTTATTATTATTTTGATCACGACTCCTTATTTTGCTTAATTTTAATGGGATAGACACATCAGACACCTTGTCAGCCTCATTTTTGCCAAATTGGATTGTAATTTAAATAAAACATCATAGTTTTCTCTTTTTTAAGATATCTGATTATTATCCAAAGCTTTAAAAAAAATTAAATTATTATGAGCTTTAATAGACAATTCTCAAGTATCATCAATGTTCTTAGACCTAAAACGGAGAGAGGAAATACAATAAATAATGTAAATAGCACACAATATATTAGATAACTTTTATCACTTATTTTAATTAAGTATTTATACTATAAATATTATCCACTAGCGGTGGGGGGAAATAATAATTATATATTTGTGTTGAAAGCCAATTCTAAAAATTGGAGCCTAGATTACCTTTAATTATATCGCTGATTTTTATTTCTGCTCGCTCCAAAGTGATAAGCAAACTCCCAACAAGTCCTTTTTAGTTGAGGTCAGGGCTTTACAAAACGGTCCATTGACCAGTCTACATTTGCTTATTCACGGAATACCATGTAGCATAATGACGAGATCTTGTGTTCATCCATCAAAGTGGAGCAACAATTGTAAAGTAGTAGCTAATAGAGTACTCAAATATATAATATAAGAAACAATGCAGCAATTACTGTTAAATAATAAATAAAGTGATATGTTTGGTATTTCTACTAATAATTGGAATACTTTCACAGATAAAAAAAATTCAAAATTAAGTCCACAATACAAAACAGTTATACCTTACCTACAAATAGAACATGAACGTGCTGGAGCTAGTGCAGTGAACATTACAATCACTGAATAATTTCGAGGTGCAGACTTAACATATTCCTTGAATCGTGGTCCATTGAACTTTAGTACTGTTCTTTTCATATTCATTTCCATTAATTGTTGAACCTTTTCACCCAAATTTTGGGCCTATAAATATATATATGAAATAAATATACACGTGTCTTCAGTAAAATACAAACGTCATTAAGAGAAATAAATCACGAAGTACTTTCATGTATTTTTAATTGATGAAAATAAAACCATAGGCACTCACAAGCTGAACGACTATTTTTCACATATAATAGAGTTAGAGCAATTTTGATTCACTGGATGATTTAATGATAAATTTGATCGAAATTCACAAAGATATGTTTAAAAGCTGAGCTCCATCAAAAGTGTACTTAGTGACTTTTTGCAATAAACCAAATAATTAGGAGATCTTTATAATTAGTCTACAGTATTTTACCTTCGTTTTGGACTGTCCATTTCCAAAGTTAATTAAATAGAACAAAAATATTAAACAAAACCAGCAAGACTTCATAGTAAATACTTGCTGTGAACTGCTACCTTCTTAACATTTGTCAACAACCAAGTTGTGATGTGTACACGGTTATCACCGGCTACCTATCGATTTTTCTATGTAAATCGATATAATGGTTTGGTTATATTAAATATGCATGTAGGTCTTTTTTGATGCCCAATTCATAGAAAGTCAACTTAAACGTTATAACTAAGAAATTTTTACTTAATATATTTTAATAATGAAATGATATATGGATTTATAGTTTGGACGCTCCAAGGTTCGTTTTTGTCGAAACTCTTCATACCATCAGGAGAATTTCCTGTAAAGGAAATTCAGGAGCGTTTGTCTAGTAAGTGCTAGAGTAGTCGAAAACGCCGAGCGGTTTCTTTTCGTTTAAGTCTGGTATGAGGATTCCAAGTTAGACGTGTTTGTCCAAGGTACGGAAGTTTTTCAAGGGATAAGCGGGGTATTATTAAAGAATAATGGAGGACAAGAAGTCGTAGGTTTACGACGAAAGGTGAAGGTGATTTTACGTTTATAAATCTATTTTAATACTCCCATTTTAACACCATTCTTCGAGTTTGTGATATGTGATTGGAGGCTTTGGCATACAATTGTTGGATCATTCTTAACTGATAGGACACCTGTGTTATCGCATACGTGGTGATGACAGTGTTAGGATCAGTTGGGATGTCAGCTGTATAAACTGTGTATAGGATAGGACCCAGGATACTATCTTGAGGAACACCAGCGGATTGGGAAAAGAGGGATGAATAAACGTTATTTTGATTCACTTTAAAGTATCTATCAGTTAAGTTGCAACGAATAATGAGAAGTTATGTAGGATCTAGGAATTTACGGAGTTTGTAAAGCAGTCCCGGGTGCCAGACTCGATCAAAACTCTGTTCTGAGCTCCAATACAGTGAAGACAACATCCACCAAATGATGGCATTGCTGGACAGTGGAATGGGATCTGCGGAATCCAAATTGATGATCTGGGATCTGTGGAATCTAAATTGGTTATCTGGGATTATGTGATTCGAATGTATGATGGGAGACAGGCGTTTGATGATGAGTTTCTCCAGGATTTTGCCCATGATGGGTAAAAGGAAGATAGGACAGTAAGAGGATCGGTATTCTGGTTTATGTGTCATTTTGATAATAGAAAGTTTCCAAGGGACAGGAAAATATGTGGATCGGAGTACATCATTGTATATATTATGATTTCATTGTTCCCTTCGTAATTATACTCCTTAAAAACTAAAGAAGTAATAACCTATATTACGAAAAAATAAAACATCTACAAAAATAACAAAGAAATATGTGGGTGACAGACATCTGTTACGCGAGGGTAAGATCTGATTTTATTTCAAATAGCTTTTAATTAGAATATTTTATCATTGGTATGTGTTTACCAGTTTTCAATAGAAAAAATTATTTATTGACACTATACGCGAATATTTAACGATTTTATTTTGAACCATATATATATAAATGTTTTTTTTTTGATCTAAATTATTGTACATTAGCTTCTAATAATTTTCAAACTCATTACACATACCTAAATAGTCTTGTCCAATTTAGTAGATAATTATTGATGTGTTTTTTTGTAAAAATTAATATAATACGACAGTTATGAAAAAAATGATGGGAAAAGAATTTATTTTACTTTCGGACTTTCTACCCTAAAAAACACAATTTCAGATGACAAATTTTAATTTTTTAATTAGCATCCCCAAAACATAAATGAGCCAATTTCCAGAAATTCAAAACTTGTCAAGTAAAATTTTCATATAAATAGATTACAAAAATCGGTCAAAATATACCAGGACATGGAAGTATAATTACAATTAATTGGTTTACGAAATAGACCGAGAACTTCATAATTTCAGTTAATGAATGGAAATTGATGGAACACTATGTTTTGCAAATATTGACACCATATGCTACCATCAAACAATTTTAATTAGAACAAAATGTTTTTAATGGTGTAAAATTACCCCGAATATTTTTTATCGTATACTTTATTCTTTCTATGTTTATATTCATAGAAATTTAGATAGTTAAAACAATATAATAACGAAAATTATAAAAATTAATTTCTGCTGCAAATTCTTGGAATTGACATATAAAGTTGTAATTGATCTAACTTTTGAACTGTTGGTGATGAAATAGTAAAATAATATATGTCATGGGAGAAAATTTAACTATTAAAAACTTTTCTCCAGTGAATAAATCGTAGAACAAAACAATCAAGAGTTAGCGAGTCAAAAAACATAAGGCAAAAATATTTGTTTCCACATTAGCGATAGTTAAGGACGGAAATTGCGGAAGCTAGGCGAGGTAGCAAAAAAAAGTATATAGTTAGAATTATTGCAAATTTAATCAGCTTTAATTTTGTATAGAACTTTTTTGTCGATAGGATAGATAGTTTTGCTGATATAAGCGAAAAACAGTAATAAAAATGAGGCAGTTTTTTTTTTTCAAAATTAACTAGTATATCTCGAAAACTAAGTGTGGTAGCGAAAGAAGATCTATGACAATCATAATGCAAGTTTTATCAGCTTTAGTTGTGTACTGTAGTTTTGTTTTGTTGATGGGATGGATAGTTTTCCTGATATAAGTGGAAACACAAAAAAAAGTGACCTTCTAGGCACCCTCCCCCACATCTGGATCTCCTCCTAGGAGTGGGGACTTTTAGTATGTTGACCTCCTTACTAGTCCAAACAATGTCCTAAAGCCTAAAATTGTCTCCCCGCCATTTCCTTCTATAATCATTCATTGACTGGACTATTAGTGCTGCTTAGACCTTTAAATGAATTTAACAAAAACAAAATCTTCCTTCTGTAAGAAATTTGTCGTGTACACTATGAAATAAGTGTTAATTATCTAAATTAATCGCTTTGTTTAGTAATCACTTCCAATTCATCAAACAACGTGACTTCCCAAAAAATGGCACGAAACTTAAATTTCCTGCTTTTCTATATGAACCATGGTTTATATAAGTTCATTTGTAGCTCCTGATGTCTACTATAATCTTTTACGGGAAACTGTATATTTATACTTATTTAAGTGCTATAGGTATATACTTTATAAATGATATATATTTTATATATATATATATATATATATATATATATATATATATATATATATATATATATATATATATATATGTAAGTTAAGGTACGGAGCGGGACAGTATTAGCTTTAATACCAAAAGCATTTATGTAAACAACTTAGAATGTATATATAGAGGATTATAAGGAGGAATAAATCAGTCTTGTTTCTGACTTCATGCGTGTTATTTGTTGAACCTTTACTCTTTTTTTTTAAGTGTTTAAAGCCCGCAACGTTTAACTTGTATATATATATACAATATAACTACAGTATATATATATATATATATATATATATTAAAAGATTATAGTAGACATCAGGAGCTACAAATGAACTTATATAAACCATGGTTCATATAGAAAAGCAGGAAATTTAAGTTTCGTGCCCTTTTTTGGAAAGTCGCGTTGTTTGATGAATTGGAAGTGATTACTAAACAAAGCGATTAATTTAGATAATTAACACTTATTTCATAGTGTACACGACAAATTTCTTACAGAAGGAAGATTTTGTTTTTGTTAAATTCATTTAAAGGTCTAAGCAGCACTAATAGTCCAGTCAATGAATGATTATAGAAGGAAATGGCGGGGAGACAATTTTTGACTTTGGGACATTGTTTGGACTAGTAAGGAGGTCAACATACTAAAAGTCCCCACTCCTAGGAGGAGATCCAGATGTGGGGGAGGGTGCCTAGAAGGTCACTTTTTTTTGTGTTTCCACTTATATCAGGAAAACTATCCATCCCATCAACAAAACAAAACCACAGTACACAACTAAAGCTGATAAAACTTGCATTATGATTGTCATAGATCTTCTTTCGCTACCACACTTAGTTTTCGAGATATACTAGTTAATTTTGAAAAAAAAAAACTGCCTCATTTTTATTACTGTTTTTCGCTTATATCAGCAAAACTATCCTATCGACAAAAAAGTTCTATACAAAATTAAAGCTGATTAAATTTGCAATAATACTAACTATATACTTTTTTTTTGCTACCTCGCCTAGCTTCCGCAATTTCCGTCCTTAACTATCGCTAATGTGGAAACAAATATTTTTGCCTTATGTTTTTTGACTCGCTAACTCTTGATTGTTTTGTTCTACGATTTATTCACTGGAGAAAAGTTTTTAATAGTTAAATTTTCTCCCATGACATATATTATTTTACTATTTTATCACCAACAGTTCAAAAGTTAGATCAATTACAACTTTATATGTCAATTCCAAGAATTTGCAGCAGAAATTAATTTTTATAATTTTCGTTATTATATTGTTTTAACTATCTAAATTTCTATGAATATAAACATAGAAAGAATAAAGTATACGATAAAAAATATTCGGGGTAATTTTACACCATTAAAAAACATTTTCTTCTGATTAAAATCGTTTGATGGTAGCATATGGTGTCAATAAATAAATTCCCCTATTTAAAAAAGATAAATATATATCCACAATTGATTTATTCCAATTTAGTTCATTATACAAAATAAAAAATTTCGTCATTGTTTTTAGAACTTGTCTGCCCTATGAATCTGACCACCTAGGATGGGCAGACAAAGTTTGTATCAGAAAAAATCCAATCCAATAAAAGAAACTAGATAAACTTCTTCAAATAATATATTTTAGCGTTTTTAATGACCGCCCGTGATTTTAGGAAGGCCACCATTTAGGAGTTCGACCAGGCAAGCAGGTACTGCAAGACGGCATCGTCATTATGGCAGACTGCATTTTTAATTAACTAGAAATATAGGAGCATCATATAGCAAAATTTGAAGTCACCTGAAATTGGTGAATTTTTCTTCTAAGATTGCAATTTTTGAATTTGAATCTGCCAGTGGATTTCCGCGGCCTAACATTGGCAGACAACGTTATTTCTTTATTATAAACCAAATAATTTCGTATTTCAAATTCCAAGCCTTCTGAAATTGGTGAATTATTACACCGTAAATTACAATTTTTTA